GACATTGTTCCAGACATGATGGTTTTCAAGAACTTTATGTGCTGTTTCCATGTTTCTATTGAGTCAGGGTAGTTTCCATTCGGTTCCAGAGAACACCAATCCCAAGAGCTGCTCAGTGAAAGTTTCCTCATTAAATGCATTTGGGGAATGTATATTCTCTTCTTAGGGATTCAGGATTCATACTAAAGGCTCTAAGGAGTTCTGAAGAAAAGGAACTTAATTTTGCCTAATTGTTATTAACCCAATAGTTCTGAAACTTATTTGACCACTGATTTCCTTTTATGGCAGCTGGCAAGGGTCAAACACCTTTACTGTCATCATCCTAGGGAGGTGTTGTCATATTGGGAAATGTGATTAATGATACTTAATCATAGTGCATTCAGTTCTGTACCTATGAATTTGGATTCAGTTTGTGTTGGGCACTGTGATTAGGACTTTATGTGTGTTCAATTTAATGACATTTTATTGAGTGCTTACTGCTTGCCAGACATAAGTTCTATAAATTGTATGTATTTTTATGCTTAGAATAACCTTGCAAACTAGATAACAAAAATAACAGCTAACACTTATTGAGTCTTTACTCTGTGTCAGGCTTGGTTCAGGGTTTTATTTGTCATGTCATTTGATCCTCAGCTATTTTAGGAAGTTGGTACTCTTTCCCCCATTTTGCAGGTTGAGCACACTGAGGCACGAGGTAATTTGTCTAAAATCACAAAGTTGGTAACCCCGTTCCCTTTGTACTGACCCGCCTCTTTGGCAAAATGCCATAATTTTTGAAAATTGTGTGTTTCTGAATTTTTGTCAGTCTATTTTCCTATCTATTGTGCCTTTTTCAAGATTTTTGCTAAGTGGTAAAGAATTTTGACATATGTATGAACTTGGTTGGATTAAAGGCTCTGTCTGAGAAGTCTGAAGGAAAGAAATCTGCCCACCCTTTATTGTGCCAGGACTCTGAAACTTACTTGACCACTGGGTCCTTTTTTGGGAGATGGAGGTACCGCTGTCTCCCTTGTTATCCTGGCGGACGTTCCTGCTTTGGGAGATGCCTGGCAAAACAGCGGTGTTTTTGTGGTGGTTAAGAAGGGTCATAGAGGAGATGTTGACTTCTTTCCTTTTACCTGGACAGAATAGGACAAACAAGTTAAGGACTTCTTTTAACATCTCCCAAATTAGCAGCTAAACAAGGTAAGAGATTGGCTGTTTTTGTTTGGCTTCTTACACAGCTCCCATTAAGCCTTACTGACTGTCCCTCTTGCAAGATGAAAACTTGCCACAAGGTATGCTTGGTGGAACTGTGATTTCGATAATGATAATAGAGAAAAAAAAGACACAGGTTCATACTGAGAAATACTGCTGTTGTCATTAGTTTATCGTTACACATAGTTAAGATCATTGTCACAGTAGTTCTTGTTAGGTTCTGGCCTGTTCCATTGGCCTATTTAAGTGGATCTGAAATATCAATATTTCACAATTTAACATATAATTAATTCCTAATACCATAGATACTTTTTATTTTTAAAAAAGATTTTATATATATATTTTTAGAGAGGGGAAGGGAGGGAGAAAGAGAGGGAGAAAACATCATTGTATGGTTGCTTCTCCTGCACCCTGTAATGGGGACCTGGCCTGCAACCCAGGCATGTGCCCTGACTGGGAATCAAACCGCTGACCCTTTAGTTCGCAGGCTGGTGCTCAATCCACTGAGCCACACCAGCCAGGGCCTAATGCCATAGATATTTTTAAAAATGTTATTCTTCATTACTATTTTACTGTTATGAGCAGGGGTTGGTATGTTCAGCTCCCACAAATGTCCTAGTAGGCCTAGGAGAATCAGTATCAGAGCTACAAAAAATTTATCATATTCTTTTCCTTTGTAATCCTTTTTACTTGTTTTGCTGAGGCAGTTTGTTTAAGAGGAACTAGATATGTTGCCAGAACAATGATTAGTGTTTTACCAGGAATAGAAGTTTAACTTGATGTTACCTTGCCAAATTGGGCTTTCCATACCTGGATAGGGCTGCCGAAAAGTTTACAGGGGTCACTCGCGTCAGTTTTTCTTTGCACCACCAGTCTTTAACCACCACGCTGTTGCACTGCATGCTTTTCTGAGTACCAGTTTAGGCAGCATTGTGAACCCAGTTGTTATTTCATTTTGGGAATTTTCCCAGTCTGATTTTTCCAAGCTTGAAGAAACCCTGCTTTTTTCCTTAATTAAAAAAAAAAAAAATTCGCCCTGGCTGACGTAGCTCAGTGGATTGAGCACGGGCTGGGAACCAAAGTGTCCCAGGTTCGATTCCCAGCAAGGGTACATTCCTGGGTTGCAGGCCATAACCCCCAGCAACCGCACATTGATGTTTCTCTCTCTCTCTCTCTCTCTCTCTCTCTCTCTATCTCTATCTCCCTCCCTTCCCTCCCTAAAAATAAATAAATAAATAAATAAATAAATAAATAAATAAATAAAAATCTTTGAAAAAATTCAGTATTTATGTTTGAATGCTGATGCAATTGATGAAGAGCTTTCAGAAGCCTAAGGAGGTTCCTCTGCGTAAAAACTCGACAGATCTGTTATGGTATGCGCAAAGTCCGGCGCACAGGGGCCGTCGCTTGACTCGCCGAACGGGTGCGTCGGTCACGTCCATACGTGCGTTTCGGTGGCGTTCCTCCGTGTGCCAGCTTCCCCTCCGTGTACGAAGATCATCCTAGTAGCCCGATGATCGTCTCTCCACCCCCTGCCTCTCATCCTTAATTCCCAGCACCATAGGTTCTTAAATGTACACTTATCTTTTCGAGTAAGTGTAATTGCATTATGGACCTACTTAATTCATTTCTTGTTAATTAGTCCAGAAAATTCCTCCTGGATTCCTCCAGGAGAGTATGTCTGATCGTATCCTCACTGGTATTTCTTAAGGAGTTCTCGTCGTCTCCGTGCAGCAAGTTAAGTGACGGCGAGACCAGCAGGCTGTGCAGAGCTCACAGCAGATGTGGTGAGAGCAGAAGCAGCGGGTCCCCGGCCCCGCAGCTGGCTGCTTCCTCTTCGTGTGCTCCGGTAGTCTCCCGGGCTTCCCCCCTTCCTTCTGTTTCTGAGGCTTCCACCTTTGACAGAAAAAACTTTCCTTGCACAGCGAGTTGACTTACGATTCCTGTGCCACCAAACTGACCTAAGTAGAAATGAGTGACTTTGAAGCAGTACCGGGACACGTAGAGAAGCAAGGAAATTAAAATATGTCTCCCAAGCGCGAAATGGATTCATTTTCGCTCTTCCTTTTTTCCCAAACGAAACAGCTTTGGATTTTTTTTCTCACTTTTGATTTTGCTTATTTTTCTCCCAAAAACCTCTGTAAAGGGATTTGTTATTTGTTCATCTTTTTACAAGCTTGACCAGGGAGCTTCAAAAAGATAACATTTCGGTCTTCCTTCATCAGCCTCTTTGATAAAGCCCGCCTTGGAGACTGTTCCTTCTACATTTACTTCTCCTTTAAGAGATATCATTTTAGTACACCACAATAAAAAAATATTTAATTTGTGCCTTGTGTTTTCTATTAGGACATTTGGATTTTATTTCATTTTGGTTCTTGCCAGTCAACACTGGGGTAGTCACGTGGGCCAAAGAGGCACACTGTGCTATGGAGCAGCCTGTCTCCGTAGGATGATGCATTTGCGTTTGGGTGCAGACGCACTGAAGGGTAGGATGAGTATAATCGCGTGGTGGTTGCTAGTGGGGGAGGGTTGGTGAAGAAGATGGATTCTGCACCGTTTTCCTCAGACGCAGAAGGGAGAGAAAAAGAGGGCAGGGTCTGTGAGCGTGAAGGACGTTCACAGAGGTCCCAGGTAGTTAAGGAGAGAGAGAGAGAAGGGTGACTGCTTAGTGCGGCACAGTGTCCCCGTTTGACAAAATGCAGTAAGAACAAGCAGTTCATCGGGAGGTGTTGTCTTTTGTCAAAGTGTCCTTGAAGTCGTGACTGAAGAAGTGGTTAAAATTTATAAGATGTAAAAGGGAGAAGCAGCAGAATGGTCCTCTGCACACCGGCCTGACCTAGAGGGGAAGGTTGCTTTCACAGCTCATGTGGGTCACCCTGATTAGTTGCTTAATCTGATTACTGTTCTTCGTGTTCCATATGTCGGATTCAGGGCTTTAAACCTGGGCCTGGTACTTCAGCTCCATTGTAATTAAACAGTTCATGAAATGGGGAGGTTTTTCAGGCAGTGGGGATTTTTAATGACAGTGGGGTAGATTTCTAAATTATTAAAATTTGCAATTCTGGACGTGGGAGTATTAGCTGTATGTCAGAAAGGGGATGATTCCCATTCTCCTTCCCCACCCCCAATCTCTGCTTGTAGTTAGAGATGTGATAGAGGGTTCGTACTGAAGTTGGAGGCAGGCCGAAAGCCACTGGCTTAGAGGAGAAACAGGGAACCAGGGCTCCCCATTGAGCTGTCTGTTAGTGGTTGGTTGACACAATGATCCCGCGATCCAAGCCCAAAAACATCTTTCTGCATGATTAATTTATTTCCTCTCTGAGGCCATGGAGACTTAGCCACGCTTAACCTTTTGATTCTGCACCCTGTGAAGCAGTTCATTTTACGAATTCTACAGGTTACATTCCCACTTGCTTCCTCAGTCACTAAGTCTCCCTAACCTTTCAAACTCCATCCGTTTCTCTGTTCTCTTACACTTTTTTTTCCTTCCTGTTATTGTTAAGTTCTAAATAATAAATAACTCAGAAGAGCAGATTCATTAGCCAGGGTGAGTGTTGGTGGCAATTAGGAAGTGGTATTCAGACTTAGCTGGAGATTTAATTCCCTGAAGTAACAGCAGCAATAGGCTAAGAGGAAGCCTTACCGTAGGGAGGGAGGGAGGGAGGGAGGGAGGAAGCACACTGATGTGAATCGAAGTTGATGCTAATGAGTATTTGCTGGTCCTAGGCGGTGCCTCTCTGCGTTCCATGACCTCCTGCTTGCGGTGAAGGAGACTCCCAGGGTGTAACTGGATGTGCCATCACTGGGAGTTCCTTCTGAGCTCTGAAAAGGGAAGTTGTAGAGTTTGGTGCTTTTCCATTCATTATGTAAGTGTTTATAGAGAAGTTCTCTGTAGTTGATTGATAGCTCTTTGTTGAAAGTGCTGCCACTTTACACCTCATTAACAGTGATGGTATATATGTAAGAATTCTGGAAATTATTAAATTTTCTAAAAAGTGCAAGGTTTTATGTTATAAAGGAGTCACACGACTCCAATCTGAGAGGAGAACTAGGTAATGGAGGGTGCATGACGTGTTCAAGGTCATGCAGCCAAACAGCTCCCTGAGGATCACACCCAGATCTCCTGACTCGAGGGCTAGGCCTGGTGCTTTCTACTCAACCGTGTGGATGTCCATGGAAATAACCGAACCTGGGGTTCCTGATATGGTGGATTGATTGACATCACAAAGCTATATAATTGAGAGAGATCCAAAGATGTAGGCTTTGGTGATTTTTTAAAAGTTTTGCTTTGTCTCTAAACATCCTGACTCTCTTCTGCTGCAGTCCTGCTGTTCCCGATGGACCTCCAGACCGGCCATCCCTGGCCTTGGCCTCCCCACACCCTGCAGTAGTCTGCTTTCCAGCGTTGCTATGATCTTACATTCTCAGCAGAGTACACTCCGTTGAGTCAGGTTGCCTACGTTCAGATGCTGCCTGTACGCCTCGACCTCAGAGTATTCTTATCTGTGAAATGGGGACGATAATGTTCCTCCCTCAGAGGCTTGTTGTGAAGGTTAAGTTCATTAATACATGGTGAGTGATCAAGCATGTCAGCTGCTATTGTGTCTACATAGCTAGAGGTATTCGCATGTAGGGTCTTGTCATTTATGCTTTTCTGAAAGGTTGTTGGCAACCTGGACAGCATCTGGAAAGCATGTGAGAAAAGCGTCCTGTGAAATTGGTGATGGAATGCTGTTGAATATAGTTCGTAGATCCCTGGCCCGCAGTAATTTCCAGAACAATCTCTCTCCCTTTTCTCTGACTAGCTTCTCTCTCATGTGTTCCTTTTTTTCCCCTCCATCTAAGTCATCTATAATTGGTTCATAACTTAAGTGTAGAATTTAACATATTGTACTGTAATTCATTGGATTGTGTGCTTTCTCCCAGAGCATGTTTTCAGCGCCCAGCAGAGGGCCAGGGGTGCCAGGGGTGCCAGGGGAGGTCATGGAATTAGTGCGTTCTCCGCCGCACTCTCCCGTAGGCCTCTCCTCCGTCCTCCGTTCATACGACCTCACCTGCCTCTCCGTCTTCTCATTCTCCAGGCCTCTCACTTTCCTCTCTCGCCTTCACTTCACTCGCATTCCCATCACTTTCCCATGTGCCGTTTCACTCACACGGTGGACTGTAAACGTATCCCCGAGGGACGGAGCGGTGAGACAGGGAGAGCGGGAAGGCCGTCATCGGCACTCTGAGGCTGGGCTGGTGTCAGCTCGGCCGCTGGGGGACTCTTCCTGCCCTTGGCTGAGTAACACGTGTCTCCCTGAGCTGTTTTCTTTTTCAGTTCAGGCATCGTCTATGATCACCTCTGGTAAATCCCGCCCCCCCCCATTCTATAAAGTACTTTCTTGTGTCTCTCCTATGCTTTTCCCACACAATCCTACCAACTCCTTTTTTATCTCCAAGATGCACTGGCAAGAAAAGCCCTGGCTTCTTTGTGTAACCTTGAATACACGACATCTCTGAATTTGTTTTATCATCTGTAAGGTAGATGGTAACACTTAACCTGCCTCTCTCGGATGGTTGTTATGAGACTCAAATGAGATAATGGGCCATACAGACATGTGTACAGATACACAGAAGAGAAAATAGAAGGGGTTACTTCCGGTGTCTCGTTTTCCATATCAGTGCATTTCTCTAAGTGTGGACCTTGGGACATCTGTACTTTTCCTAGATCTTTCTTATACACAGGGGAATCGAAAACCTTCAGTTGCTATGTATTCTTAGTTGCTGTTTTGTGTTAGGTTCAGCTGACTTTATTTTATTAAATAAGATTTTATTTATTTATTTTTAGAGAGGGAAGGGAGGGAGAGAGAGAGAGAGAGAGACAGAGAGACAGATATCCATCAATGTGTGGTTGCTGGGGGCCGTGGCCTACAACCCAGGCATGTACCTTGACTGGGAATCGAACCTGCGATGCTTTGGTTCGCAGCCGGTGCTCAGTCCACTGAGCTATGCCAGCCAGGGCAGGTTCAGCTGACTTTAAATACTCTCTAAAGCCCACCCTCTACGGCTTGCACTGCCTAGCCTAGTGTAGCCTTTCTCTCTCGTGTTCCTACCGTGCTCCATGCTAAAGAAACTGCTTATCCTCGCTCGGGGACCAGATGGTTTACACATTGCTTGCACACATAATGTAGGGTGTTCTTTTTGGATTTTAGAGCTGCAGAAAGCAAGGCAAGCAAAGATTTTTTTTTTCTTTCCTCTTTCTGTTTCTAAGTAGATTCCTCAATAAAACACGCTCGGGTATTCAGCAGAGGCTGCTGACTGTAGACATGGAAGTGTAGATGTTTTATAAATAAATTTGTTGTTAGTCTGATTTTTTAACCAATGGATTTTCATAATACTTAATTTGGACAGAAAAAAACCTCCTGAGTTATCAGCACCTGGCACAAATATATATATATATCTCACACAGTCTATTTATAAAAATTTCTCAGAGCACATCACAGTCAGAATTCATTTCCTATCTTTAGTCATTTTATAGTATGCATATTTTCCTTCTCCTCCCTAAATGGTTGAAGTCTGAATGTTTTAACCACCATCAACTTATTTTGAACATAAAGAAATATTTCCTTGGTGCAGTTGTCAGAGTGTTTTAATTTGGTGGGGGGGGGGGGGGTGGGGGTCGCATACTGCGTCTCCATTAAACGAGCAGTTAAGACAGGTTCTCTGTGCTCTAAATGAGGTTAATTAGAATTTTCCCATCATAGAAAATTTAGTACTCTTCAGAGTGTATTAGTTTTATAGAACTCCTGAGAGCACATGCAGAGAAAAATTAAAGTTATTATTTTGGTTTTTATTGAGTGAATTTGAGTTCACCTACAAATACTTGGTGAGTCACTAAGACTTTTTGTTTTAGAAACTGTATTTCTTAAAAATGTTTACTGCCTTCTTAATGCTTCCCAGGAACCAGATCCAGAATTGCCCGTATCTCAGGTAAAGGTGTAGCCGCAACCATTAGTTTAGAGAATACGTAATTACTATTGCTTGCTCTAGAGTAGAAAATTTGCTGCGTATCTGCCTGTAGTGTTACAAAATTAGCCACATCTATCAGCCATTCTGTACCTTCCTATGTAAATATTAAATTTCTAATACTTTTGTGTCTGTGGACGGGGAGCCTTGTAGAACTCAGACAGTCTGTTCATGGAGCCTTGGAGCTTCACTAGAAATAACCAGTGCTGACCGGACGGGTGGGGAAAGTGAAGGAAGCCAGGGAAGCCGGGGCTTACAAAGGGAGCAAGAAGTTGGCAGGGCCGCGGGTGTCTGAAAAGACTGCGAAGGACAGGACGTGTCTTGGTACACAGTGGTCTGACTCTGCTTCAGAAGGACTTGATCTTGGACAGAGGTTCCTGTCGCAAGTGACGAAGAAAGGAAGGGGCACTGGCTAGGCAGCTGGGTCTACCAACTCTACTGGGCCAGAGGTGGTCAGAGAGGCCTGATAACTGGATAGGACAGCGAGTGAGGGAGGAAGCAGGTCTGATTAGGGGAATACCTGGCCAGTGAAACTTCTGAAAACAAGAAGGGAGGAAAGAGCTGTAAATCAGAGAGTTTCAGTGTTGCCAGGTGTCTGCCCTGCCAAGTGAGAGAGAATTTTAAGGTTGTTTTTTTTTTTAGGTAAATAAGCGATTTGAACCTTATTTGCGGTTCATATGAATACTCATCAAACCTTTTAGAAGAAAGCAATGTACAGAGTACTCTTTTGGAGGCTTAAGCAAACATCATAAATAGGTTAAAATGTAGTACTCTGTTCTTTAAAAGTATGCTGTGTGTCTTTGAAATGTTTACAACCATGATTTCCAAATTGATAGATGGTGCAACACTATTTTGTGCATAGTATGTACACATCATTTAGGAAGACCCTAAATTATAAATAGAATAAGTAATGTGCTTTTTGTTCTCAGTAATTTTGGAATATTTTGATTAGAATTAAATTAAAACATCAATAATTTGCATTCTTTTTATGGTTTTAAAACCATAAATGGCCTTTGAAAGTTTCCAGCTAGCACAGGGACTTCATAAAAGACTTAGTGTTACTTTGCTGTTATGTGGATTTAATTACTCACTGGGCAGTGGGGTAAAAGAATAAAAAGGAACAAGGTTGACTGGATTCTTTTGAGCTCAGTATTTATGCTTTTGGCCTTTTTTTCTTTTGAACATTTTTACAACTTCAAAATAAATGAGGCTTTGCTATATGAATGAAATCTTTTGTGCCTGTTTTCATTTTCATAGACTAGGCAGTCCCAAATGTTACAGATTCTTATGATGTCAAAATCAGGTTAGACACCGTTCTTTGGGTTTTATTCTAGTAATAACCTTGCAAAATTATTTCCCACATGCTTTTAACTACTGGCCTTGCATTGTGTATTAAGAGGAACAGAACACTTGAACATGTTTCCCTCGGTCAGTATAACTTTTACCTTTTCATATGTTTATTTTTATGACTAGAATTGGATTAACCTTACAGAAGGTGGACACGCCAATATTTTCCTGATGGTAGCGGGCAGATACCTGCCTCCAGAATGATGCCCCGTCGATGGACTCAGTACGGGGATGAGATGGGGCCATGTTTCACAGACACAAAGGAAAATAATTGATGCGATGATTGGGAAAGTCTATGATTTTTCTTTAAAAAATGTTCCTGAGCATCTATTATTTCTGTGGATTCCACAGTACTTCCACTACATAGGTATTCCAATTATTTACACAAATTGCATGACCCTGTCATTTTTCAACAAGTTAAACATATCGGATGAAGCTAATTTATATATATATATATTTTTAAAGATTTACTTATTTATAGAGAGGGAAGGGAGGGAGGGAGAGAGAGAGAGAGAGAGAGAGAGAGAGAAACATCAATGTGCGGTTGCTGGAGGTCATGGCCTGCAACCCAGGCATATACCCTGACTGGGAATCGAACCTGCGACACTTTGGTTCGCAGCCTGCGCTCAATCCACTGAGCTACGCCAACCAGGGTGCTAATTTATATTTTTATTCAGATTCAAGGGGCAGTTTGGGATCGCAGTTTGTGCTTTATTATGCATTTTATTTTAATCACTGATTAGTTTTGAACTTTTTAAAACAAATTTGAACAGACAGAGGATTTTGGAACTGTACAGCATACTTGGCTTTTTTCCAGAATAAAATATTTAATTGTTTTAAAGCCAAAGCCCCATCTGCTGTTTTTTATTAAAATCTCAGGAATTGCTCACATTGCCAAGAGCAGTTCTTTGAATACAGTCTGATCTTTCATCCAGTAACGGGATGTGCTGTTCAAGGTCATTTTTTGTTAGGATAGAAGGAAAGTCAGGAAGATTAATATTCTCAAATGCTGATGAAATTTAAAATTTAATAATGGTTCAAGTGGATTGTATTACAGAGCTTTAACTATCAAGAATTCACATCATTATTTCTACTTAAAAATCGGATTTCAGGAACTGAAACAGAGATAGCTCTCTTTAGCTTTTTGAGAAAGTGACTTATTATGGAATAAAATGTAAAAGAATGTTCTTATTTGGTTTCTGCAGTATTTGTTCATTTGGTGAGGGAGGGAATAGCAGATTTACTTTCCTATGTTTGCTTTGCCTAATACAAAAAAATTGCATCTCCTTAATATTTGAGAGGTTAGTAGGAAGACAGATGCCAAGAAGCATGATGGATTGGACTCTGAAATAAAGTCTGGATGTGAAAATAATTTAAAAATATGTGCATGAATAATTGATACCCAACTGTATAAATGATACTATAACAATAAAAACTTGGCTTTTAGAAAGTCAACGAAGACTCCAAATCATTGTGTTGAAGCTTTGTTAGCTCCTCCTCCTCAGGATAAAAATCCCTATTGCTCCCTGTGGCATTTGGGGTCCCTCCTCTGTCTGCTCCTGCCTTCTCCTCCAGCTCCTTCTCTGACTGCGGCCTCGGCCTCGGCTGGACCTGAGCCTCCCACCGCACCGACTCTCTTGGAGCTGCCGGACCCGCCTGCTTCTGCCCTGCCATCGTTCACTTTGGCAGGAGCTCTTCTCTACAAATGCTCTCTCTCTACTCTTCCCTCTATGCCCAGGCTGCTGGGTGCCTTTCTCCTCCCGCAGCTCCAGAGTTTTGTGATTACAGTTTCCACATGACACACAAATTCTCATGCGCTAGAACTAGGCCTGGGGCCTGCTTATCTCGGTTCCCAGGACCTGGCAAGCAGTGGGTACTCCTGAGTTAAATGTGGGAACAATCCAGCTGAACCGGCGAAGCCCGCTTCCTGCTTCGCTGTTCCAGCAGAAAAGGCCGCAGTCCTTCCTCCCGCCCACCAGAGGGTGCCGAGCACAGAATGCCCTTCTGAAAAACTGAGGGCATTGTGAACTGTGGGGGCTTAAATCAGGATTGCTTATTTCCATCTTTGAAGTTAAATTAAACCATCAGTCTAAGCCAGTGATTATTTCCCCTGACCCCTAAGGATAGTTGTATAGATCTGGCAACTTTCCTGGTGTTTTATGAGTGAAAACATCGGGTTGTTTCTATCCTTGGGTGGTCCCCACAGTTAGATGCAGATCCAAATGAAATTGATTTTTTTCTAACAAACAAATTAGCTTTTTAAGTCCACATTCCATTCGTGTAATTGTATCAAATTTACTTGTAACATTTGAAACATCTTATTCTAACTTATCTAATAAGAATCTAAATAAAACCCCAACCATAAAAGTAAAAGCCAAAAACCCCCAATCATGTGACAAATGGAATTTCACCTTAGGAACCTAACTATATCGTGACGATAGTCTTTATTCCCATTCCAATTACTTCAGCCCACAAAGCGATCTCTACTTTCTAATTTATGTAGAACTATTTTCCATACCACACACACTCATACTGCTTTGCTTTGTCATGTATTCCAGTAGGTGGTGTGCTCCGGGAAGTTAGGATCTGTGGTTTAATCCCGTGTTTCCTTCTCAGAACCTCGCCCGCTGCTGTAGTTGGGAGGTACTCAGTAGATGTGGACGGGCTCACTGAATGCGCCTCTGGTTGCTCTCAGGTGCTCCTCTCTGCGTCCCTTGGCATCCGTTCAGCAGGCTCCGCAGCCAGATCCCTAGTCTGGTGAACTCTGACCCCGCCCGGAGCTTCCCTTGCTGCTACGCCCTCTAGACTATACAGTCAGTTCTATGCCGCTGCTTTGAAACCCGCCTGCTCCCCATGTTGTCTATAGGACACCATGCTTCATTGCTCTCTGCTTCTATTCTGTAGTGAGGTGTAGAGAGGTAAATGTTTCTGATAAAGCAGTTTCACATGTTTAACAAAATACTTATTTGTGTATGCCTTTACATCTAATTTCTCACGGTAAAGCAAGGCTATTAAGATATTTTCTAGATTCCTTAATTATGTTTTCCTCTCCTGCCCCCTTTCTAGCAGGTTTTCTACTGGCTAGGTTACAAAGCAACCAAGATTGTGTCGATTAGTTACTGGGAATAGAAATTGAACTTAGTTAATTCGTTATTTTTGGAATGCCTGTTGTGCACAAAATATAACATAGGTGTTATGGAACATTAAGAAGTGAATAAGGTAAGAAAAGCTTGTATTCTGGGGAAGAAAGGGCTAACTTATGCCCAAATAATTGCAGTGTTTGTCAACTATGGTGAGTACATAATGATAGAAGTGTAAAGAGAATGCCCCATGAGACAGACAAGAGGGAAGCAGGTTGGAGCTGAACTATTGGGAAGTCGCCGTGAAGGACTTGGCCCTGGATAAGGAAGGCAGAAAGAGCACAGTGGTTGTGTCTTTGTCCATCTGTTTTCTAGTGATCATTCCAGTAACATTTCCTCTAAAGATCTTTCATTTACAAAAGGGCACGTCAGAAGTCCACAAGATAATTATCATACTTTTATTTATCAGGCAATTGATAACATTGGTTGTTTCGTGATACATAATGGCCTCTCCTTCTTGTATTAGTTTCATGACATAGCCCTTTGAATTAGTACAGTGCACATGCTTACCAATCAATTAGATAATAATAAAGGATGGTTGGCTTCTATGGGCTTTGCAGTATCTCTGGTGATGTTTAATATATACTTCGTTTTATCCATGCCTTCTTAGGCAGCCTGGATTTTGAAAGCGCGAGCACTCACGGAAATGGTGTATGTTGATGAAATTGACGTCGGTCGGGAAGGAATTGCAGAGATGATCCTGGATGAAAACGCTATTGCTCAGGTTCCACGTGAGTGCTGGTTTTCCAGTTAAGGACGTGAAGTGCCCTTAGGAGGAGGACATTATGTACATAAGAAAACACTACCTCAAGTAAATGGTCTCTACTCCGCCTTATAGTACAAAGGCTTCCCTTCCACAATTCAATTATATTGTTTTAAAGTTAAGGTGTGAGATGGATGTATAACAATTTTCAATAACGGATATGTTATTCATTTACAAATATGTTATGAAGATGCACGCTATGTGACCTGCTTACCTAATATATCAGAAGATTGTTTATTTTGGAGTCTAAACACAGGAAACATCCAATTAACAAGTGTTCCAAGAGGATTTTTAAAAATGATCTTCCGAAAACCTCACTTTGTTTAAATAACGGAAGCCAGTTTGCACTGATGCAGGGTGTGACGTGGTAGGGTGACATGCTGGGCTGTGACTGCCTGTCAGGGTTGTCACGGAAGCCCAGGCCCCAGCTTTCCGGTGAGCGGGTACCAGTGGCATTGGATGGTTGCCATGACACATGGTAGTCTTGCTGGTAATGTATCAGTTATGACAATCAGTCATCATCTGTATTTTTGGAAGGTAATGGCTATTCTAAAGCTTCATATGGAAATCAAGAAAAACATATGTTTTGTGTTAAAATGTTCCCCCCCCATCATTTTGCCCTTTTTGACTTAAAATACCTAAATTCTAGTTATGATGGTAAATGATCTTTTATGGGGAGAAATTTGTATGAAAAATAAACTATGCCTATAAAACCATCATTTGCCGCTGTGGCGCCTCGGAGCCTGCCAGTCTCGGGTTGGAGTCCCAGCTCTCCTAACGGTCGGCCTATGGATTCCTCTCTAAGTCAGCAATTTTCAGCCTTCTTCATCTCGTGGCACATGTGATCTCATTGCTAAAATTCTGGGGCGCACCAAAAATACATTTTTTGCCAATCTGACACAAAATAGGTATCACACTGGACAGCTATTGTTGTGTTGGCTGTTGTCAATTTTTTATTTTTGAGGATCTAAGGGAGGAAAGGCCAGTGCCCCTGACTAAATAGGTACAGTATTGCGTGTTTTAAAAATTCTCATGGCACAGTGGTTGAAAATCGCTGGCCTAAGCCTTTTGCTAAATGGGCTAATACTTCCTACCTGAAAGACTTAGTGTGAAGATTAAATATGATGACATAAGTAACATGATAGGTGTGCAATGAATATTAGCCTCAAACACATTTCCCTAAAATATATTTCCTGTTGTTAATGTCTTTTTCAGCAGGCCAGCACATTTCTGAAAATTCGTTAGCTGACAGTTGTTAACAATTTAATAAATACTCTGTAAATTGAATTTTCCGTCTCACCTCCTAGGCCCCGGAACATCTTTGAAACTCCCTGGGACTGCTCAGACAGGAGCGCCTAGTCCGGCCGTCAGGTATGTGCTTCTGTTTCACACCCTCCGCCACTAAATAGCGACCGGGTTGCTTGAGAATCTTTCTCTATCCGTCTTCTCTGTGTTTCCACAATTGGCCACCCTCGCAGGCCGCTCACTCAAGCTGGAAGACCCATCACAGGTTTCCTGAGACCCAGCACGCAAGGCGGGAGGCCGGGCACTATGGAGCAGGCCATCAGGACGCCCAGAGCCGCCTACACTGCCCGCCCGGTGACCAGCTCGTCCGGGAGATTCGTGCGGCTGGGAACGGTAACTTCCGCCAGCCCTGCCGTAGCCCCGTAGCCCCCGTAGCCCCATCACCGCGTGCGTTAGGTTCCGTTCTTGCTCACTGTTGTTGTAATGCAGGAGCAGATGGAAGATTTTCAAAGGTGATCCTTTCTCCTTATGTGGCCTTTACAATTCTTATGCACACGTTTTAATTTGGTTTCAAGAGAAAGTTTTCTATTTCTTATATCATCACTTTTCTCCATAGGCGTCCATGCTTACAAGTCCTGATGGACCTTTCATAAATTTATCTAGACTGAATTTAACAAAATATGCCCAGAAACCTAAATTGGCAAAGGTATGTACTTAAAGTTATTTCATGTTATGAAGTAATGTTAGAAGTGTTATTGTAATAACGTTGTAGGAAATGGGTAAGGATTTGTGAAGGAAAGGCCATGTTTTGATTGCAATGGATATGTTTGATTACTGTAACATGTAAAATCCCTCTAGGCTGGAGTTAAGGAAAGTCAATCAGAAATACAGTATATCCAGTGTACCATTATTATAGGGAATTCTCTTTTTTCTTATAAAGAACAGTGATTTACAGCAGGGAAAGCAGAAAGCAGCATCACCTTCAGAGAGTAAAGCTTAGGTGGTCATCTGTGTATGTGTGTATTTTTTTTCTTTTTCTGCTTGGTCTTTTCTCAGAAAAATAATTTTCTACCTTTGAGGATTTTAGGGATGTCAAAAAGAAGGTAAAAAGCACGTGCTCCTTTTAATAAGTAATTAATCAGGCATCTCAAGAAGGATTACTCAAACCAGACAGTGACAAGCCAACTACCTTAGTAATTCGAACTACTCAAAGATTAAATGCTCCTTTAAATTAAAGAGTATGTGTGTGTGTGTGTGAGAGAGAGAGAGAGAGAGAGGGAGGGAGAGAGATATCAGTGACCTTTCCAGTATAAAAAAACTTGGCGGTGAGTGTGGAATAATTCAGATCTCGGGGCTCTTATCTTCTGGGAACTGGTTTAAGCCTGGCTCAGCATTTTAACTGTCATCTCTGTGAGTCTGTGCACGAGAGCCCTGAACTCATTTCTAATGTCAGTTCTAATGGCATTTAACATATTTACAAAATAACAAACACTCTAGGAAAAACCACCATGAACACAAACCATGCAGACTTCCAGTTCAAATCAGGAAGAGAAATGCTGGTAGGTAGGAAGGGAATCGGATATAGTAATGCTGATGGTGTTTTCTTGATTTCTGACTCGAGAGCAGTCCAGTCCACTTCGGCCAGCAGAATCGTAGAGCTTTTCTCATTTCTCTTTCCTCTGTGAGAGTGGAGCGTTAAAAGCAACCCGTGTGGAATACCTGGTCCCTGACCTTTCTGGGCCGTTCACTTGAGGTGGCTGGATGGCTGGTTGGTGCAGGTGCTGTTCTCTAAGCAAGGGGCGCAGTCAATGGAGGCGTTTTCCCAGTTAAATTACGGTGCTTCCAGGACAGACCTCCGTGACTAGATTTAGACTGAACGGGGTTGTACACCTTTTCAGGGTGTGGTGGAAGTGACGCCAGGTCTTTCTGTCTTTGGCCCCCAACCGGCCTGGACTCCGCGGGACTCGCTTCTAGGGCTGGCTCATTGCGTAGGGCTCTGCGGAGGCTCGCTGGCACTGTCGGAGGGGCCGTCACAGCTTTTTCATGGCCGTCGTAGCTCCAGCTGCACTCTCTCTTCTTTCTAAGTTGTTCTCAAGTCCTCTCTGTTAATGATAACCTTGACATCTTCAGGGGCGCTAGCCTCTTTACATGTGTAAATAACGTGATTATGGGCAAACAGTACTACCAACCCATAATCCAGTCAATGCTGATTTATCCAGATGAGTTGGGTGAAGGATTAAAATATTGGTTCTCAGCCCTTGTTGCTCATTAGAATCATCCAAATAATAAGCAAAAGGCACCGCACTTTATACTTAAACTCGACTTTGTTTCAGAAGGAATGGCTAGGTTTTGCTATGTAGAAAGTGTGTCATTTTAATATCACAGTCACTGTATAATGTATGTAAAGTATGTAAAAAATTGGTTGAATCTATTTTATGGCAATCCTAAAGTCAGTTTTTCCTTTGTCTCTTTGTATTAAGATAGTTTGTATAATATGAAAAAAAGTTACTTGTTTTCCAGTTTGTATTCTGTAAAAACAGGAATGAGCTGTAAATACCATATTTTAAAATGGATGATTATGACAAATGACAGAGAGACCCATTATTTATAAATCCCCTGCATGTTAGAATACCTTCTTATTTAGGTTCAATCTAGCTGTTGTCACAACTGCCTTTGAGTTTTGATATAATAATGACGTGTTTTTGTTAAAATAAAATCTAATGTATTTTTGTTGTTTTTCCTTTGTAGGCTTTGTTTGAGTATATCTTTCATCATGAAAATGATGTTAAGACTGTAAGTTTTGAATTTGTGCTATTTTCTTTTATTTAAAATTTTCTGACTTCGGGGATTTAGATTCTGAAATGTTCTGTTTCTTTCCTTTCTTACCTTATGAACAGATGGAATTATTAAAGATTGGAGAATTACTAATACTTTCAAATCCATGGTCAATTTCAGTAAAATTTGTGTAAACATAGAAGTGGTAAGAACTGTGCTTAACCTACAGAGTGCATAGATCTTCATTAAAGGACAAATACAGATCATTGAGAATACTACATAATATGCTTGTGTTAAAGTTTATTTCCTATAGTCAGCATTGTTGATATGTTTTTTTTTAATTCGAATCGTGTATTAAAATAGGTTTACCGATACATCTATTTCTGGCTTCTTAATAGTGCAACCCCTCTTTCCTATTAACATTTTATGATAGGAAATTTCAAACATGTGTGCAACCAAAAGAAAAAAATAAAAATCAAACAACCCTCCAAAGAAAGAAAGAAAATTTCATATAAAATTAGAGAGAATAGTAAAATGAGCCTGTATCACCCATCACCTAGCTTTAACAATGACCACTCATCTTGGTAGCCTCTTCCTAGAGAGTCTGAAGGTTATATGCATATGACTTCTCCATTTGTTTCATTTTTGCATGTTAATATGCAAATGAACAGTAAGCTCACAAATTTTGTTAAATTGAATGTAGTTGATTCTGCAGTGTCTAATGATAGTATTTTCCTATTAGTTCAGGAAAGCAGCCCTGGCTGGTGTAGCTCGGTGGATTGAGCGTGGGCTGCGATCCAAAGCGTTGCCAGTTTGATTCCCAGTCAGGGCACATGCCTGGGTTGCGGGCCAGGTCCCCAGTAGGGGGCGTGTGAGAGGCAACCACACATTGGTGTTCTCTCCCTCCCTTTCTCCTTCCCTTCCTCTCTCTCTCTAAAAAAAAAAAGGAAAAGAAGAAAGAAAGCAGCTTTATATTCATATAGTAAGTATTCAGGAACATAAAATTATTTTCCTCAATTTTGTTTTCTGCTGGCTTCACTCTATAATCTCAGGGCCTAGAACAGCTCCTGGCACGCTGTCGGGCTCAAAAAATATTGAATGAAAGAATACATGTCAACCACTGTGCTCTGTACAAGGAAAACTAAAAAAAATGGTATTTTTCTGCATCTGCAAACCATGCAATCTAGCAGAGGGAATGGCATTTGACATAATGAAAAAAAGAGGTAATTGCCAAACTGTGAAACTGTTACCAAGTGGCAAAGGGAGAATCTCAGAAGGGGTAATTTTAGTAATGATCCTTACAATAAATGGGATATTTTGGAAAGGAAGGAAAGTAAATGTAAAGAAAGGGTAGAACCATGGTCAGGATGTGGAGTGAGAAAGACATGGGCCATATCCCCAAAAATGGAAGTGCCCAAGAGACGTGTTAATGAAATAAGTCTCAGCACATGATAGCAGATTTGATGTGGAAGGCAAAGGGAAGACACAGGTCAGATCTGCCGCCTAAAGAAGCCGTAAGAAGAATGGTTTTCCTGACAGAAATAGGATAATTGAAGAAGGAAGTCAGTTAGTAAAGAGGCCGAGTAATTCCCTTGAAGGCATTTTGCGTGTGACATTGTGAAAGGCCCTCCAAGGGGAGATGCCACAGCGTGTGTGCAAAGATGTGGCATGAAAGTGCAGGGGAGAGCCCGGCCCCGGTGGATGGAGTACGGGAGTTCTGTGTGGGGGTATGCTAGTGGCTGTGGTCGGGAGGGACGAGAGGCAACTAGATTTGGGGCAGCTGAAAACCCAGGCACAATTCTGGAAATAAAAGTCAGTGCATGCCATTGTCACTTGGTGTAAAGTGAAGTCTGGTCCGAGGCTTTCAGTGTGATAGATAAAGTCACATCGTCACACTGACATGAAAAAGAAAACACCAAACACCATTTCTTTTCATAAATGAGTAAATGTGTCTATAACTACTAGAGTACCATAAAGCTGTATCTCGACTTTCTGAAGATTGCTGCATTTATTGAAGGGGCATTTGTTCTTTCGGCCAGTGTATTTTGAGCCACTACCGTGTGCCAGGCACTGCTCTAGGCCTGAGATTACAGAATGAAGCCAGCAGACAAAAATCCCTGCTCTTTGGGGGATTATAGTTCTGATTTGGCAAGGAATGGAGACAATTAGACAATTTAAAAATATATAAAATGTCATAGGACCATAAACAATTGGAAAAGAAAAAAGCAGGAAAGCAGGTAAGAGTAGATAAGGACATGGAGGGAGGGAGATGCTATTTTGGATGGCGTGGGAGGTAGTCAGCCAAGTCCACGTGGAGAAGACACTGAAACAAAGGCTGGAGCGAAGGGGGATGAGCCCTATAGTTTCATGTAGGAAGGTCATACAGGTTGGCGAGAACCTTAACGGCAAAGGTCCTGCATGGAAGCATCACTGGGCTGTTTACGGAATGGTGATGAGGCCAGTGTGGCCGGAGTGAGGTCTGTGAGCAGGGAGGTGGTAGGCAATGCGTTTAGAGAGCACACAGGTCAAATGCTGTTTGTAGGTCAGCCACGGTGATGATGTCTTTATTAATATATTCATGTTGAGGGTGTCGTTCTCCACCTCCGCATTTACATAATGTTGAGGAACATGAACTAGGTGGAAAACAAGGATGTATCCTCTGCCATAACTGAGTTTATAGTCTAATAGCAGACTTTAACCTTCACGTATTATGTAAGTATTATAGAATGCTTCTATAATACTCAGTTCTTTATTTGCACTGATTTTTAAAAATTTGATCTTAGTGGAGCAATGACATTTAAATTTTTCATTTAAGCAGAAAACCTTTTTTAAAAAAATGAGATCTTACCCAGACCCTAATACGTAAGCAGACAGAAGTGGAGCTGCTTGAACTGAAGCAGAAGTAGCAGGCTAATAACGCACCCAGCGGGCCTCCTCCTTGACCCTGCTCCCACCACCTGCCCCACCCTTTCCTCTTCCCTTGAGCTCCTGCCCCTCAAATCCTAGACTATTGGCTGGTTCCTAAATCAGGCTGTTTCTGAATTACCTGGGGAATTTTATTTTATTTTATTTTTATTTAAAAATATTTTTTCAATTTATTTTTAAAGAGGGGAAAGGGAGAGAGAGAGAGGGAGAGAAACATCCAATGTGTAGTTGCCTTTTGCAAAGCCCCCTACTGGGGACCTGGCCTGCAACCCAGGCTTGTATCCTAGACTGAGAATTGAACCTGCGACCCTTTGGTTCACCAGCTGGCGCTTAATCCACTGAGCCACACCAGCTAGGACTGCCTGGGGAATTTGAAAAGAATGGATTTCTGGATCTATGCTAGACTTCTTTAATCAGAATCCCAGTCTGGTAAATGTGTTGGTAATAAAATCTCCACAGGCAGTACAAGTTTTCAACCATGATTGGGGACTGCTGCTTAAAATATAGTATGAAAACCAACGATTCAGACGGGGCCTTCTCACATCAGAATGTAGACTTGAATGCCAGGGCTCTGCATAACAAACTAACAAACAGGAGGGGTGTGTCTCCTGGTTCAATGAAAGGAATCAATGAAATAAGAGAAAAGGCACAACAAAAATGACTCTCAAGTTTATCTTAGTAAAAGGTGGGGATACAAAATGCCGTTGAGAACTGGAGTCTCCATTTATAAATGTTCGAGTTTTATTCTTGGGAACAGAGAAAGAGACAATGCACTGGAAACAAGCAACGTTGAGCACAATTTTTGACTCTTTTTGAAATAGAATCTGATGCTTTATTAAAAAACACTGTTTAGAAAATTAGTTTAAGGACTTCTTTTAGAGATTTGGTCAATGAAGAAATAAAAAAGTGTAAACTAGCCAACAACAGAGTATTTCACAACTTTGGCTGGATTCACAAGGCACTCACAAAAGAAAATGACCTGCTGATCCAGCGGAATCTCTGGACAGTGAATGGGAATAAAACCGCAAGTGAAATGACAGCAGACAGGTGAAATACATGCATCAGGCGTGATTTAAAAACACTGGTGTTTGTTAGCTATAAAAGAGCCTGTGTCCATTTGTTAGTACTCTCTCACTAACAACAAAAATGTAAATTAAAGAAATTTTGGACTTGTGATTTTACATTTATGAAATTTAAAAAATTGCTGGGGGAAAATGGGGTATATTGTTATATATTGTAGATGATATCTTAGATGGTATAATAATTTAGAAAACACTATGATAATATATAGCAGGTAGCTATAAAGATAGTCATTTTCTTCTGTAGCTTCACTTCTCAAGAAATTTCATGAAAAAGTAAAGCACCGTCTTCGCAAAGATGTTCATTATAGTGTTAATTGTTGTAGCAAAAAATCTGAGAAACAACCTAAAAGTTCAATGACAGAAGATGAGTTTAGGAAGTTATAATAAATTGAGCAGTGAATTTTATGCAGCCATTAAAAGTCATAATCATAAAAGCTAGGCAGAAACAAGAAAAGTGTTTATTTTATAATGCTAAGCCAAGTATACCATTTAGTATTTCAAATAGAATTGTACCTAAAAGATGTATGTTTATGACTGAGACTATGAGGTGTTACCTAAAAATGAAAACGATAGTATTGGAGATTAAGACATATTAATTCTACAGACATTTGTGGAATGCGTGCATTGTGCCAGCAGCTCGGATTACAGCTGTGAGCAAAAAAGTTCCAGCTGATGGCACTGATGGAGATTAAGTCTAATTTTACTTCAACCCCCACCCACGATTTTCAGTAATAACGTCATAGCAAGTTTTCATTTATAAATTTAGCTACAAGGGAGGGCCAGTGAGAAAATAAAATGCTTATAATCATATCCTGCTTGTTCTTTTTTCTGCGTACCTCCAATACATGTACACCGTCTTACAGAACTTACAGTTAAGCAATTTGTTTTGCTTTTATTTAGTAAATAGCGCAAACCGTTGGTTCCTCTCTTTTCCTTCTCATTCGCGGGTCTGTTTATTGGTTTGCTGTCTGGTGGGGTTATTCTTTGAACAAGTGCTTGTTGAGTGCTTGGAGTGCTGTGTCCAGGAGGCACCGAGTGGGACCGAGTCCCATGCTCGTTTCCCATTGGCCAGGGCTTGACAGTCGTGACTCTCAGGTGGATCGGATTGTCCCATTAAACTGTCACTTCAGATTTCCCCACAAATGTTATTTTGTGAGTGGAACAAGCATTTAGATAATGAACAGAAAGCATGCATTTTTTATACGTTTTATATGTTTTGAAAACTGAGCTAAAAAATAAAAATAAGAATTGTGGTTTTTAACATGCTGAAGAAATCAGAGGTGCTTTCATACTGGTTGCCCTGGGCGGCCACCAAATTTCTGAGCATATGATAGTTGTGTGTGTCTTGTTTTCAAATTTTCACAGCCTTTAAGTAGAGATGTTGGTTTCTCTAGTCTGTTAGAACCCCAGCACGGCGACCCCATTTTTTAAATCGTTTGCATATTTGGAAGTCTCCCATAGAGCAAGAGAAGATGGGGAACACAAAGAAACATTACTAGTTTTGCAGGAGGAGATCCAAGGAATGTTTCTGGCATTTATTTCAATTTTAAAAGTTAATATTAAGAAATGCACAATAATATGGGATACATTCTGAGATAATCAGAACTGAACATCTAAGAGTTACTTTAACTAAATTGTTGGTTGTCATGATTGCACTAACACTGTCTAAAGTTTTTCAACCTTGAGAGAAAAAATAGTATTATTTTAAAATCGGAATTCTCTTTTACCTAATAACTTGAATTTTTATTCACCAAATCTTTACGTGAGCTTTCATTCACTGAATCTTTACATCAGATTCCTATGAGCTTCCAATTTGTATCAAGGTTGCTTTGTTTTTCTCTTGTCCAAATGGCTTCCACTTCCTCCGTATGCAATTCTAATTCCTGTGTAGTCATTTCTTGTTGGACCTTGAATAAACACGAGAACGAATAAACTAGAAGGCATGAGAGAGATGGGATAAACACACGTGAAATATGAAAGCAATCAAGGGGATTTTTTTCAGTCTGCAGCCAAGGAAAGTCTGGCCCTTAGAGTTACTGGAATGCCAGGTGACGTCAGCATAACGGAATGAAGGTTTTTGAGGACGGCAGTTACCCGAGTACCCAGCTCCTTCGTGATCCTGTTCCCCAAACCTCTGTCTACCTGCTTCCGTGGTCTTTTTCTGTTTCTCCACATCTCCGGTTACAGCGGGGCCTGTGACTAGGCCAGGCTAACACCCCAAAGGCCGGACTGCCGCTGAGTCTGGAGGCGTTCTGAATCATCCGACAGCCGATCACTGGTGGGGAGAGGGAAAAAACTTACAGGTTTTCAAATGTCAGTTCTGTGCGTGGTGTATTGAAATTGCATTCGAGTATGTTGTACCTCGGCTCGCCTGTAATCAGGGTTTACGTCTCCTCTGCTGCCAGCCCTCCAGTCTGGAACGGATTATGCGGGGAGAATCGGCGGGGCCATCTGGAAACATGGGCGGCTCGAGCTGCTCTCTGATTTCCAAAGCATGTTTTGATTGATGCTAATTATATGGTTTATTGCATTATTTGCTGTTTCTGTTTATTGTTCGAGTAGGAAATCCTAACCTAAGACGACTTGTTTTCCAAGGCTCTGGATCTGGCTGCCCTTTCCACGGAGCACTCGCAGTACAAGGACTGGTGGTGGAAAGTGCAGATCGGCAAATGCTACTACAGGTAAAACCTGGGTTGTCTGTGAAGGGCTTCGGAGTGGCAATGTATTGGAGAGTTTCAAACCTGGTCATTTTTGAGGGGGTGAAGGGTAGATTTTTCTCAATGAAGAAATGAAAAACTCTTTGGCTCCCTTGAGAAAGCATTTCCTGAGCCATCCCACGATGGCACAAAGAACCGACACCTTTAGAATAATAGCAATGCAGAGCTGGGAAGGGGGAACTTGGAGGCCATCAGCCCAACCTCCCTTTACCGACGAGGAGGCTGAGGCCGGAGAACGGCTGTGCTCTGCGTCAGGAACCTGTTGGTAACAGGCCTGCGACTGCGGTCCCGTCCCGATTCCCGCTGCACAGGCAGCTCGGCTCTCGTGTTTGCCCTGTTGCCTCACATCTGTAGAGTGCTTTATGGTTATCTCACCGAATCTCACAGCACCGTGGAGGGAGCTGCTACCATTAACCCTTGTCCAGAAGAGGGAAACTGAGCCTCAGAAAGGTGAAGGGGTTTGCTCAAATCCACGTGGCTGATAAGCCTGTGGCAGAACAAGAATGCGAGCTCAGCGTTTTGCTGCTTGTTCTCTTACTATTTGCACAATTCCATAGTGTCTGTCTAGGGTCTGACTATTCTTTCATTTTTACAATTTAAGCACATTTTAAGCTGATTAATTGAGAGATCAGAAGGGTTCTAACTGAGTTCATAAACATTATACAGCAACTAGTAAATAAGATCTGAAACTTGTCTGATATTGAAATGCACTGGGAGCATTTGAAAAGTAGAGACAAATGGAAAAATTATATTTTATAAAGATGAATGTCTTCTATTATTCAAAAACAAGGTAGACCAGTTACTGTGAGTACCCTTCAATATTTATAAACTCCAGTTTTCAGGCAAATACTCTGAGGAAAAGGAAATAAATGAAACCAAAGGAATGCTCTTCCTTTTACTGTTGAAATTAAGAACTACTTTTTAATTAGATATATTCACATTGAACTCTATTTTTTCTTTACTGTTAGATTGAGGAAGTGTTTTCTACTAAAAGGTAATTTTAGACCATTATAACATTAAACTCTTATGAATATAATTTTCAAAAAGAAGCTTGAAATTGTGAGCTTTCAAGCAAAACCTTCAGAAATCTTTAATAATTAAGGACAAGCACAACTCAGGTTCCTTCTGCCATCCACACAGGATGACGTTTAATGAGCATATTTTGTCATATTACCATTCTCCTCTGTTTCTTAATAGCTTCTCCTCTTTATTATGGATGCATTATTCACTTTTATTCCTCCACTCACACACTCAGTAAAGTGTTTCCTGAGCAGCCACAGAGTGCAGGGATGGGTCGCCAGGCGACGGAGCCCCAAGTCGACTGCATCTCCCTGCTTCCGCGGGCCCCTCCTCTGCACCAGCAGTTGCTCCCTCACCGCCCAGTTCCAACCCTTGCCCTCATCCTGGCACTTAGTGTCATCTGTTTGACTGTTACATTAGCTTCTTGTTTGAATTTTCTAATACTATTTTATTTATTTATTTTTGCCCCAATCAGTCCTTCCTATATGCACGGTGCAAGGACTGTTGTGAACAAACAGCTCTTGTCAGATTCTTTGGTAAATTTCCGTCACCTTTGGGATGAGGTCTGGACTTCAGGAGTGACGGCCACAATCTCGTCTCAGTCTGCGTGTTCGCCCGTGTCTCCCACTCCCCCCTTCCGTGCTGTGTCCTCCTCTTCAGCGGGGCCGGGACAGCTCGGCATCCCCCCCCCGCACCAGGCCCTGTGCCTTCCTGCCTGTGCGCTTATTCCGTAGGCTTCTGTCTGAGATGTCCCCTCCCCCTGGCCTCCCCCGTCCGTCAAAATACTGTCTGTCACTTCCTCCTGGAAGCTGTATTGGTTCACCCCTCCTCCGTGCTCTCACAGCACTTTTTTTTCTCACGGTCAAAATACCACATTTATTTGTGAGCCTGCTTTCTTTCCGTCTTTATTGGTGCCTTCAGGACATGGTTGTTATCTTCATTTCTGTATCTCCTCGCCATCAGGAAATGTGTATGCAGTTGGTGCTTCATGGTGTTTAGGGAATTAAATTGCAGAGAAGAAGTTGGCAGTTGGTAGGGATTATCTCTGCACTCTGACTCTGTGTTCCTGGACTTGACGGATGTTTTCATTATACTTTCTTCAAACATGGCCCACTCAATTTCCTTTGCGCGAGAACCCATGTGGTAAATCCCTTTCTGATAGCACTGGAAGAAATTATCTTTTGAGGATGCAGTAATAAAAGACATGTGACCCATCCTCTCTTCTCATTCTTTGGGTTCTGGGCAGCTCAATAGCTCTGATGGCTTTTTAAAAAAAATTTGTTTATCTTTCTATCTCCATTGTTTTTTAAAAAATCAATTTCTGTTTTTATATTCTTGTCCTATGTGTCTTTTTGTTGTAATCCCTTTTAAATCATTTGGGGAAAGAGACAAGTTGTTAGATAAAAATATACATTCGCTTGTGGAATATGAGGTGTCCATGGAAATCAGTGATGAGCTTCAGGCATGTGTTTTAGGCTTGCATGTTTAATTGAAGTTGTTATATAAATATGTTGTTTTCTAGAACTTTTAGAGTTCTTTGATCATGTTTTAGAAATACTCTTTGTAAAAGTTGTGACACCTTTGAAGAGGTGGGGACTTCTGCCATATCACACATCCTCTCATTTTAGGACAGGTTTTGGGGGGTCACTTTTACCCCCTGTAAGCCTATGTCTTTCAACAGCTGTTGGGAGACAGCCACACCAGCGCTTGAGGCTTAGGTTAGGGAAGAAGATCAAAGCTATGTTTTCAAGCCTTTAAATGAAAGTAGCACGTGGAACATACTGTGTATTGTCCTGACTTTATTTCACAAAATAAAAGCAATATTAGCCTGGCTGGTGTGGCTCAGTGGATTGAGCATGGGCTGCGAAGCAAAGGATCACTGGTTCGATTCCCAGTCAGGGCACATGCCTGAGTTGCAGGCCAGATCCCGAATGGGGGGAGCGTGAGAGGCAACTGCACACTGGTGTTTCTCTCCTTCTCTTTCTCCTTCCCTTCTCCTCTCTAAAAAATAAATAAATAAAATCTTTAAAAAGAAAGCAATATTAAAGTGCATAAGTAGCTCTTAGACGCTGGGGATGATTAGTTCTTAGAAAGCCCAACAGACCTGTGAAGGACAGGCCAAAGTGTGCTTTAGTGATTGGTTTAGGGGTAACAAAGTGTTCCCTGGGCAGAAGAGCTGGGCAGGGACACCAGGATGGTTGTAGTTAGGCATGGAACAAGTCTCTCTTTTGTGGATGAGGGCAATCAGTGTCAGACATCATAAAAGGGAAAGAAAATGTTTCTAGAATAATGAAATGGTATAGCTCTATACTCAAGTGGCAATCACTGCTTACACTGAAATTGTGTAAGAATGGCTTTAAAAATGAGATTTTGTCTCAGAGCAAAAGATGTTTTCCAAGAAAAGCCATCCTTTAGCTCTTCCAGGAAAACAGAGACTCTGAGCATTTATTCAGGTCACTTGCCACGTGTCCTGCTGATCATAAACCTGTGCGACCTGGCTCACCAGCAGCTTTTAGTCCTGCGGTGACTAGACTGCCAACAGACTCTTTACGCGGCATTCAAGGGCAAGACAGTGACTATGGGAAATGGGCAACTTTTTGCCAAACTGTATAAACTGCATGTTAATATGCGTGTAGGACTTGACCTCCTTTATTACATGCTTACTCTTATAGATGTAATTTGTCTCTATTCATATCCTCAGGGTAGGAATAAATGCTATATAGTATTTCTTTTTAAGATGAATGCCTGATTTTTTAAATGCCTATTCTTAGGTTAGGAATGTATCGTGAAGCAGAAAAACAGTTTAAATCAGCCCTGAAACAGCAGGAAATGATTGATACATTTCTCTACTTGGCAAAAGTAAGTATTCTTAGTCTAAGTGAAACCTGTCTTCTCAGAACAACTGTTTCCGTGCGTGGGGAGCGTTGCCAGTTTCTTCAGGAATATTTTGGCAAGTTAATGTGTTTAGACTTAACTTATTTTTCGTTTTAGCAAGGGAAAATGTGAGACTATAAGAAGAGTAACTGAGGAGAAACTGATAGCTATGAAAAATAAGAAAACCTCTTTGAAAGATTAAGCGTTGGAGCTGAAGAAAATCCCAGGGGCTTCGTGTTCCCCTGGGTACCGGGCCCCACAGAGACTGCTGGGTGGAGACGGGGCGTTTCCTCCGACACTCTGTCTTCCGCCGCTCATGCAGGTCCTTTATTTCTCTGCTCTGCCATAACAACAAAAACAATATTTCCCCTCTGTGGACCACCTGCTCAGTGTAAAGTATGGTATCAGGTCTGTTCCATGTGCAGTTTAGCCCCCATGGCACAGGTGGCAAACACAAGGCCCACGGGCTGAATCCGGCCCTTCCCCTTGTTTTGTCCTGCCCTTGTTTCTACCTGGCAGTAGCACTGAGCTCTCCCTTAACTGTTAAGGAGCAGTTACATGTATACAGTCCTAAAGTTACATTCGGCCCTTTGAAGGCAACCTCAAGGCTGATGTGTGGCCCCCAGTGAAAATGAGTTTGACATCCCTGCCCTCTAGCAACCCCACAAGGTGGGGTTTGATGTTTCCTTGTACTCTTAGGGAAACGGTAAGGAGGTTAAGTAAGATTTCAGGGTCACTTGGCTCTTAGGAGCCAGCATTCAGTCCCAGGATGTGGTGATTCTAGATCCTACTTCACTGCCCCTTAGGGCCCCCACAGCCACAACCTAGGATTTTCAGCATCAGGACCAAGTTGCTTCTTGACCCCCACCAAGGCTACTTCAAAAGAAATATTTGATGAAGTGGTGGTTATGACATCGTCCGCTGTATCTGTTAAGAATTTTTTCAATTAAAAAGTGTGGGAAAGCAGTTGAAAAGAAGATGAGATATAAAAGGAAGTGCTACTTCTCCCTAAAAGGGTATTAAAAATTAGCATACTGAAAGGAACAAAGTGAAAGCTGTGCTATAAAATTCAGTGTGCTAATCTTAGTGTGTGTACAGTGGTTTTCAAAAGTGTTTGAAATTATCCGGTATCTAAATCTGCTATACATTATATCTTAAACTTAAGTTCTTAAAAAGGTTTCTAAGAATCCCAGTCGCCTCATCCTTTTCTGACAGCTTGAAATTAAAATTCAGGTCACAGTGTTTGATAATCTCTTGCCACGTGGCTTAAAAATGTACTCTTAGTTTTAAGTGTTGCTAAGTACATGGTTTAACCTGTTTTTTTTTCATAAATTAATTTGTTTAAACACATTATGGAGTGTATAGAGGTAAAGTTCACTCATTTTCTTCAATATATGAAGGGGTGATTGTTGCATAATAGAGATCGGCAGATTGTAGGAACAGTGCTCTTTCTTAAAATTTTGGATGGTTAATTTTAAAATAATAATTATTTTATATGACTTAGCATATTAACTTATGTATTGTATTTTAAAAAGCAGCTTAGAAACGTAGAAGGTAAAATTTGAACAGTGTTTGCTCCTACTTATCCCTCTGCACTCCCTGCTGTGGCGGTAACTCGGGAAACAGTTGCTTGGGTGTCTGGGCCTTCACAGCACGGACTCGCTGCCTGGGAAAAAACAGAGGGTCTGCCATCACGAAGAAAAAAAATGTCACAATCTTATGTTTCTCCACATAACATAGTAATTCTCTGTTTGAGAGATTCCTCTTCAGTGTGGGGGTTGTCCGTGCTCACGTGCTGATGGCTCACGGTATGGGTGGACGCCACCAACTGCCCACTCGCTTATGCCCTGACCCTGGCCTCACACGCCCGTTTCCCCTCCCAGTCCGAGGGCCCTTTCCGAAACCACGCCCTCCCGCGCTGCTCCTTCTCAGGCCACACCTCCTTTCTCCTGAGTCTTCTTCTCCAGTCTTCTCCTCGGTTGTTTGTCCCGACCTGCAGACACCCTCATGTCTGTTCCCTCCCAAAAATGTTTTCCCTTGGTCCTTGTCTCGTTAATGCTCAGGCTCTGTGGCAGCAGTGAGCCCACAACAAGGATGTGTTGAAGGAATAAATGAATGAAAGCGTTATTTCCACAACACGTGGAAATGAAACTGTAATGTCATTGTTGGAAATTGATCCTACACAATGTTTTACTGTAATACCTAGGAGATAGTTCATTACTAAGCAATTATAAACTCGTCATAACAAATACTGGATTGTTTTAAGAACCAGTATTTCTACTGAAGTGTGTCTTGGTTTTAGGTTTACATTTCATTGGACCAACCTGTGACTGCTTTAAACCTTTACAAACAAGGATTAGATAAGTTCCCAGGAGAAGTAACCCTCCTTTGCGGAATTGCCAGGATCCATGAGGTGAGGTTCAAGGTATTTAAAAAGCTGATGTGAAACTGAGGTTATGTGCTTCTTAAGTCGGCCCATAGTCTTGCGGGGCCCTAGCGAGGAGAACGACTTATAAAACTGTGGCTGTCGGCCCCTAATTTACCAACGGAGTAAGAGATTTTAGTGTATGCATGCAGTCATACCAACGTTCTATCATGAAGATTGTTTCCCCTTTTGGAACGTAATTATAATAAACATGTAAGTAGAAGTGTTTGATCATTCAGTAAAACTACTACGTCAGTCCCTCTGTATCTTTGAGTGACTCCACATTGAACGTGAACAGAATTTCGACCAAGAAGCTCAGAAAGGAAGGATGATAAAATAGACTGTGAAACCAGCAGCATTCATGCGCAGTGGCAGTCATCCCGGTGCAGTCAGAGCCGTGGGGCCCTCCTGCTCTGCCCTCTGCACACCGCAGTCCCTCTGCCGGCCTTTTCTCGGGCCGGGAGTGCCGGCCGAGAGACCTGGGGAACGCCGACATCTTTAGCATGTGGTTGCCGGTCAGCATTCCTTCCCAGCCTCTGCTGTGGTCACTGTTGCCAGGGCTGGGACCGGCCGGGGCCCCGAGCAGATCCTGGGATCCGCCACCTTCTTCCTTTCCCGGCTCTGTTCTGGCCGGGAGTTGGAGGAACCTACCTTTTTGTAAGCGTCCAGGGGAGGGCTTGGTGAGAAACGTCGAATTTGCCTTGGTGGTGCTCACAGGAGGAGAGAAGCGGAGAGGAAAGCGTCCTGCCTGTGGGGACAATGTCATGCACACGTGGGGTGATCGGGACTAAACACGGACCTGAAACAGTCGGGCTCGGTGTCTCCCCTTGAGGCTACGGGCAGCTGCCCTCAGGGCAGAGCTGACCGCGCAGAGGTGCCCAGCGCTGCCCTTTTCCCTTCGCGAGACTGCGGCTCGAGGGCTCATCAGTGAAGTGTGTTCCGACTGCATGTGCCTCTGGAGACTTTTTGTGTGCACATAATACTTTCCTCTTTTCCTTTATGTTATTTTCTTTTTATGTGTCACTTTCGTGTTGGCCTGGTGTCCTTTAAATCTTTCCTGTTTAAAAACGAACGCGTCACGCTGCCTATTATTGCCCATCGGTTGTTTCGTACAGAAACTCGTTTAAAATGACTCACCCTTGCTAAATCTGTTCAGTTGTGGTTCGAATTTTTCGTGAGGCATTTTGTTTATTCGTTCACAATGCAGGTCTTCATCTGAATTGTTCTTTGTTAAAAAGTGCTCCAAATTGGAAGCACCACTGTAGGAAATATTATGCCTGTGGTCCGTGAACTTGACTGGGCACAAAAATGACTTTGGGGATGTCTGAGAGGTGAAGCCCATTCTCTCCCTACGAAACGGGGGATGCAGGCATCTGTGTAACAAGTGCACCAGATGCTTCTGTGTTTTGAAGAAAATTTTGGTTACTTCTCTTAAGGAGCTAGATCCTGGCAGGACTTCGAGTAAGAACATCAGATATAAAGCATGGGTTTGGATCAACCTGTGAATGTTTTGTTGGGGTTTTATGGGACTAATAAGTAACATTCCAAGTTGAGAAACAGTTGAGAGATCGATACAATATGCAGACAAACAGAGGGTGAACTATTCGCTTTGTTACTGAGAAAGGCAGAACTGGGGCAGGTGGCTTTAGGTCTGGGACCCAGAGGACTTAACAGTGTCCTGCCTCTGAGTTCAATGGACGAAGCTGCCGTGTCTGACCTGACTGTGCACCCAGCACACCCTCCGCACCTGGGAGAGCCTGTGCCACACGGCAGGGTGGAGAACGTGGGTGCTGTGCGGGCCAGCTGGCTGCCAGAGAGACCCAAAGGGGCTGAGACATTCACGCTCTGTGTGCCTCCTGAGAATGAGTGAGGGGGAGTGGGGAGAAAGGCCCCAAATACCGTTCTAATATCAGCGTTTCTCAAAGTGTCGACCAGAGGTTCCTGGGGGTCCCGAGACCCCTTTCAAGGAGTCCACAAGGTCAAAACTCTGTTCATAATACTAACATCGATGAGATTGGTGCTAATATTAATGGATATAATTTTTGATATCAAACAACGAAATGCACTTATCTTTATAATGATCCCTCAATTCTACTACGAACCTAACACTTCTCTAAAAAAAATAAAGTCCTTAAAAAAAAAAAAAACCCAAACTGAAATCCATGGGGGTTGAAACAATTCCATGGGATAAAAAAGCATTGTGTGGTGATTCTTACAATCATTGGAGTCTTGGGTTTATTAAAATGTGTTATGATTAAGATCAAACAAAAGACATGAGTCCTTATGTGGTAAGAACAAGCGAGTGGCTCGCATAGCAGGTGCCCCGTCAGCTGGGAAGCAGCAGAGAGCTGTGTGACGCAAGGGCGTTCAGGACGTTTCCACGAGGGGTGTGGAGCCTGGCCTGGCCTTGAAGGTGGACTTGAGAGCTGTGAATATTATTAACAACATGAAATACACTTATTTGCGATCGTCAGGGAGACTCCTGTTATCCTTGCTACCATTCTTCCCCACTTTGGTGTGTCCTGTGTGTAGCCAGCAAGTTCCTCTCTAAAAACGTAAAGACAATCATGTTACTCTTCTGCTCCTAACTCTGATGGCTTTTCCTCAATTTAGAAGGAAACTTGAGGTTTCTACCATGGCTACCAAAGCTCCTGGCTGCCTCTCTGCTCTCCTTCCGTGCCACTCCCCCTCTGCAGCCTCACCTGCTTTGGTGTGGTTCTTCCACGTGGCAAGCATTCCCGCCTGAGGCTCTTACAGCCGCTGTCCCCTCTGCCCAGGTGTTGCTTTTCCAGTTGTGCACGGGTCTCAGTCCCTCCCCTCTGTCAGGCCCCCTCACCTGGCACCTGCTTGGGAGCCCTGCTGGGGTAGCACCCGCCCTGTCTCCGTATCCGGCTCTGTGTGTCTCTCTCTGCACCCCTCTCTCATCCTTGTCATGTCCCCTGTGTTCCTTGGTGTGTCTTCCCTGCCAGGTGGAGCCTCCTGGAGGATAGGGACTTTATCTTCTTCTGTCCACATTATGTCCCCAGGGCCTGGGACAGAGTCTGGCACATGGTAGGCTCTCAGTGAATATTTATTGAGTGAAAGAGTGTAAATCAGTCGGAATGAAAAGAATACCCTGGCACCATTAATAAAGCATTGCTGTCCTGTCTCGGTGGAAACTAGGAAATGAACGACATCGCCTCTGCCGCCGAGTGCTACAAGGAAGTTCTGAAACAGGACAACACGCACATGGAAGCCATCGCGTGCATCGGGAGCAACCACTTTTACTCCGATCAACCAGAAATTGCGCTCCGCTTTTACAGGTGCGCTCTACCGTTACTTTGTGAAACTGCTTTCCTGTGCGATATTGGTGAAACAGTAATAAAGGTGGAATAAAAATGTAGAGAAATGATATATAAGCCATGTCTGTGTGAGACTGAAAACTCAAACACCCAGATGTTTTGCGAGCCTTGAAAGTGACATCTAATAATTTGGAAATGCACAGGTACTTGGCATCTTGTAGAAACACACCTGGATAGTCGCCTGAGTTTTCAGCACTGTGGCAGCGTATGAATTAGCCATTTGCTCAGTGGCCGGTGACAGCTGAGTAGTGACTAGCAGCATCTCTCACCATCTCTGCCCTCACTAGTTCTGCTGTGTATGATGTAAAGACCTCGAAGCTTCGATGGTGATGAGATTTGCAGAGTGGCAGGCCCCGGGTTCTGAGCACCGATAAGGGCCAGAAACAGGATCCCGGGTTTGGGGAAGTATTGTCAACTTTTGTCCACACAATTCTTCCGTCTCCATAAATGCTGTTCTCTGGTTCTCTTTCGAACACATACTCATCTTATCCTATAGCTGGTCTCTGGGTTAATTTTTACATTTTGATTTCCTCTTTGGCCCTTATGTAATATACAAGGAGGTAACTGGCAGCCGGCAAGAGTCCTCCTCAAATACACGTTGAAACGTACAACACGATAATACAAGGCTGTCCTGTCACAGGCAGCTGGTTCCGGTCCCCGGCCCTAAAGTGGGTCATGGGTTCCTCAGGGCAGCGGGGGTAGACTTCACTTGCTCACTTGCTCTTGCTTGTCCTTTGTCCTTTGGAGTTAATGACGCACAGAAGCTGACTGGGCTTCTTGAGCTGTAGCACGAAAGCTAAGTGGATACCATAGGGATCCACTGGTGCTCTTGTCTTCCTTGGTGGGAGCCGTTGGAGGTCAGTAGATGCAGCTGAGCCACAGGATGCTTATAACCAAAAACAGGACCCAGCGCAGCTGAACACCCGGAGCTAAATGCTGGACGCAGCCCTCGAAGCCGGTCACCGGGCCCGAGGACCTCACCTACAGGCACTGAAGCGCTGTGAACCAAAAACGTGTGGGTCCTACTTTACACGACTGTTTTTTTCTTAGTTTGGTTCTCTGACAAAGCTTTGGAGGGGAAGAACTTACATAAGTTGTTTTTACCCTTGCCTGTGGACACATTTCCCATAACTAGTACTGTTAGAAAAGACCTACTTTTGTATCTGCTTTAACATGTTTTTCATTGACTGCGGTACTTTATATTTGGGTGTGTTAAAATTATACAATACATCCATTTCTAAGTTTGTGAAAAGACATGCGTCTGGCTATTTATAAAGTCGGTCTGACACCGAAAATCTGTGTGGTCTGTTCAAAGGCGACTGCTGCAGATGGGGGTCTACAACTGCCAGCTCTTTAACAATCTGGGGCTCTGCTGCTTCTACGCCCAGCAGTACGACATGACTCTGGCCTCGTTCGAGCGCGCCCTCGCTCTGGCCGAAAACGAAGACGAGGCGGCTGACGTCTGGTACAACCTGGGGCACGTCGCCGTGGTAGGTTGCTCCTCTGATCCAGTGTCTGTCAGGGAAAAGGTAGCCCAGGTTAGTCTGCGGCCGCGTTCAGGTATTGCGAATTCAGGTTTGGTAACAGACTCAGGTAGCAGTTCAGAGATCTCTAAGAGTCACCATCACTCATTTTATATTCCCAGGTTAAATCCTCTTCCATACCATTCACGCCCGACTCGTGCAATTGCTACTTGTTGCTTTTCCCGCGGGAGCAGGAAAGATTTATGCGAAGAAAGATGGGAGGGGACGGCGGGCGGAAGCGCACGGGTTTGTGTGTGTGCGCATGCGTGCTTTTCCTTTGTAGGGGACGGGAGACACGGGTTTGGCCCATCAGTGCTTCCGGCTGGCTCTGGCCAACAACAACAGCCACGCGGAGGCCTACAACAACCTGGCTGTGCTGGAGATGCGGAAGGGCCACGTCGAACAGGTCAGTGAGCTGCGAGAGGCCCGGTGGCGATCTGCTCTCTGCACAGGGAATGCTGTCCCGTGTAGCGCCTTCACGTGCTGTCATTGAACCGTGAGCTTCAGAGCCTGGCCAGCCTGGGTTCGAATCCCAGCCCCGGCATGGATTAGTGACGCGACCTTGCACAGGTTCCTTAGCCTGTATCTAAAAGAGAGCACTTGATTTTGTCAGGACAAATCTGTACATCCCAGTCTCCACTATTTTAGGGAAATGTTGCTTCATCACAACCCCCCTACCCTCACCTCCACCCCCACCGTCTAGCTGCTCAAGCCAAAATCCTAGGAGCCACCTGGAAGCCTCTTTTTCCCCCCCGACCACCTCTCCTGCCACCCCATATCCCCAGCGCGGTCGGCAGGCCCCATCAGGTCTACCTCCTAGTCACATCCTGACCCCAGCCACTTTCCTACCCACCACCCCCTTCTCCAGACCGCTCTCACCTCTTGCCTGGACGACTGCAGGGGTCTCCTCGCTGGTCTGTTTCCACTTAAACCAGCACGGAAGTGCGCCCTAGAGTGCATCCTTCGCAGAACAGCCTCGGGGATTTAGAGAACACAAGATTATTGTGTTACTGCTTTGCTTGGCGTGCTCCCAAGGCTTTCCCTCCTCACGTGGAGCAAATCTGCACTTCAGACCTTGACCTACAAGCCCCACCTGACGTGGCCCCTGGCTGCCTCTCAGACCACACCTTTGTCGCTACCGTCGTCCCCCTTACTCACGGTTTTGCTTTCCTCAGTTTCAGCACCTGTGCTCAACCCTGGCCCTAAAATAGTAAATGGAAAATTCCAGAGATAAACAATTCATGAGTTTTCACTTGTGCGCCACCCTGAGCAGCACGATGACATCGGGCACCATCGTCCCACTCCCTCCTGCCCCGGGACATGGGTCACCCCTTTGTCCAGTGCCTCCACGCTGCTTATTAGTCACGCAGCAGCTGTCTCTCTCAGTTGTCAGATTGGTTATGAGAGAGAGAGAAGCCTCATTTACATAACTTTTATTACAGTATGTTGTCATAATTGTTCTATGTTACTGTTATTGTTGTTATGCTCTTACTGTGCCCGATTTATGAATTAAACTTAATCACAGGTGTGTATGTGTAATAAAATGCATAGACTGTATAGGGTTTGGTGTTGTCCACGGTTTCAGGCACCCACTGGGGGCCTGAGGGCGTGTCCCCAGTGGATGAGGGAGGACCGTTGTGTGCCTTTTGTGCTGACTTCCGGACGCACAGGTGCCTCGCTGCCCTGCACACCCGCAGTGACTGTCCTTCCTTTAGGGCCTCGGAAAGTTCTTTCAGATCCCGCAGTTATCCTTCAGATTCTCTTGTTGTCATTGAGGCCTTGGCTTACTTACCAGCTCCTCAGAAAGGCCATCAGTGTAAAGGGCCCTCTAGCACTGTCACGCAGCCTATGGTTATTTTCTTCACAGTGCTTATCATCGTATCATATATTTTCATGCTCACAGGCCAGATGTCAGCTGCGTGAAAGTAGGGTCCTTCTCTGGCTTCTAACTGCTGTATTTGCAGCTTCAAAAATGGTGCTGGCCAGTGGCGGGTGCTCGGTCCCTGGGTGTGGAATGCGCGGGTGGCGTGTGATGCAGGGTGGGAGCAGCACCCGGCAGTGTTCTGGTGAAGATTAGCAGGTCGCACACACTGAGCCCTCGTCCTAGTAGAAGTATAGTGTTGAGCACGTGGTAGGTGCTCAAGAAATTACATCATTATTATAACAGAACTTTAAAATGCTAAGTTCATAGTATCAGTGGTAATCAAGGGGATATTTTTACGTTCCAGACCTTAGAGATGGAGAAACAGAAACTCGAGGCAGGTAGGTAACTCCCCAAGGTCACAGGCGTGGTGAGCAGCACGCCACCTGGCCTCCTAGGCAGAAGGATGAACTGTTAACCGAACCAGGAAGGAAACATTATTGGATGTTGCCTTTCTTTCCCAAATTCCCCCAAAGTAAATAAGATGGGCTTGTATTTTCCAGACAAAAACTAACACCTCGCTCTGTCTCGAGACTTTTTCCCAAGTCCGTATGAAGCAAGTGCTTTTGTGATTTTCTTTCCCGCTGACTTATCTTAGTTTCTCCAGTGTCCGGTTGGTTTGAAATGTTTTGGTAAAAGGTTTCATGATCCTAACGCCATTGTATTATCAATCATACTTCAATGAAAAAAAGAAAATAGGTAGTCCTAAAACAAAAAAGTTAACACATTCCATTTATATGAACTGGCATTTTATTTCCCATCAAAAATAGAAGGATACACGAATTTGTTCTCAGGGTCACGGATAGAGGTTTTGGGTTTAGCCGCGAGTTGGAGGCTTGGTGGCTCGGAACGCCGAGTGAGCGGTCCTAACGCTGAGCGCTGAGCGTGTGAACCTCTCCTGTCAGCCCCGGCCCTGCAGGCGCAATCCCTCTGAGCCTACGGGGGATGACAGCATTGGGGTGGACTCTGTTTTCTTCTGTGCTTCAGAGGACAGAAAGCTTGTCACATTCAGGTGCACTCAGTTGTCATCTTCAGGTCAGCAGTGTGATAAATGCTTGCTCGCTGTCATCCAGCACAGAACTTGGGCCTTTGAAAATCAGAAGCCCACTAAATCGGCCGACAGCAGAAAAACTAGAATAACAGGACTTTTTTTTAAGCATTGAGAGGATTATATTTTGAGTTGTCGTACTGAAATATAAACTATACAAGAACAGTGGTTCTCAAATAACCAAATGTACTCTAAGTTTCTAATTCTCTTATTTTCTCCACATGTCAAAACATTGTATTATTAATACAGTTTTGGCAAAATGTAAGCAGTTAGTTGTGTATTGGTAAGTGGTATTTCATGAGGAATGTCATCTATATTCATCACAGGATCATGTTTCTGAAGGTCCCTTCCTGGGGAAAGGATTCTTTTACCAAAAAAAAACACAGAAATCACATATATGTGCTGATATATGCTCATATGCCTTTGATTTTTCTTTTCTTACACAGGCAAAAGCACTGTTACAGACTGCATCATCTTTAGCACCCCATATGTATGAGCCACATTTTAATTTTGCAACAATCTCTGATAAGGTATTTTCTTTCATTATCAATTTACCATCTGATCTGTTTCTTTTTTCCCTCAGTTTTAAAAAAAGTACAGCTAAATAAGGACATTCTAACTATAACTTCCTGGAGAAAAAAGATTTTTTTTAAAACACAATTTTTATATAACATGTGTTGGGACAGTTTAATAAACTTTAAAGAACTTGATCGCTGAATATTGACTAAACACCATTTTGGATTGCAGAAGAATTATTTTATGTTTAAAAATACGACATTTAGTCATTAAAAAGATACTCATTAAGTAATTTCTGGTTTGGGAAGGATTCCGTAATTGCTTTTATTGCAAGAAAGTCCTGTGCACTGTTGGTAGATCGCATTGCCACCAAGTCTCTGGCACAATTGCTATAAATTAGGGGTAGTCAAAGCAATTTTAGCTATGAACACTACAGGGAAAGTTCAACTGTTAATCCTGTCACAAGTCAATTAATATCCAAGAGCTAAAAGGAGTCCTGTGCCATTTTCAGTAACAATAAGAAAACCAAAGACACGTAATAACTAACTCTGGCTTGGAAACCTCTGTTTAACATGGAAGGTGAGTTTTGAGGAGAAGGAAATGGCTGAAAGCGTTTGCTGATGTGACGACCCTTTTTTAGTGGAGCAAACATTATAAAAATGTCATTTTTCATACCATGAACATAAAGCCATCCGCACTCTTCTTTCTATTTTGGAGATAAGATAAGCTGTCACTCGTAAGTTGTCATTTTTGAGCACTTGTTAAGGGCTCGCCACAGTTCCAGGCGCTCCACACCACGACCTTGCCGCGTGGGCATCCCATGCTTTCCTTACGCAGTTTTTTTAATATAAATTATGTTTTCAAAAAAAATGGAGCCTCTGCTATGAACCAGGCAGTGTCGAAGGCACAGAAGATGTGAACAATGAATAAGACAGACAAAAACCTCTGCCTCATGCAGCTTATATTCCAGTGGGACCCGAGGCCTGAAAAGCTTACAGGGCTTCTCTAGCATCACAGGTGCACGCTCACACCCAGGTGCTTTCTGCTGCTGATGCCCAGCTGCTCTCTGCTGCGCTGTGCGGAGAGGGCTTGTTCCTCTCCTTCAGGGACATCATCAGCTTCACTAATATGTAACTCAAATGGGATATTGCTTTAAGCAAAAGGCTGTACTTCCACTAGAGAACATAGGTTGTTGAAAAGAAATTCTAGGATTTAAAAATGGAGACTTCTGTTTGTAATGCACATGCATGTTAAAAAAGACTTCAGAGTTGAATGTTCTAGATAGCTTTGTGTGCACACACTAAAAAGCTCTCTCTCTCTAGCAATGTACACATGAATGGAGATACATTTAGGTGGATTCAGATACTGTGTGTGTTTCTCTTTGGGACTGGACTTGAACACATAGTTTCTTGAAATCAGAGACCCTCTTTACAAACTTTTAAAGCCAGCTATTTTTCCAACATTAATGTGCCATCACTATTTAAAACCTCCCAGAGCATGTTGTGTTATCCTAGATACGAGTTTCTGCTTGAGTTTTCTGTCTGTAACATAACACCCTCATCAAATATGCCCTCGTGGTGCATTACAAACAGTTGTCTAACACGTTCCCAAACTGCATCGAGCTGGCTGTCTCGGCATGCAAATGTTTTATTTTTATTAAGCTATCGGTGAGGGAAGAGAAAACACAGGTTTATAAATTTGTAACTAGACAGCTGTAATGGAGCGTAAATTATTTATATAATTGGTTATTTTATTTTTCTCACAAATTTTCAAGACTGAGTTGTTTTGTAAGTGAAAGAATTCTCAAAGCCAGGTAGCATAATGAAGCAGTTTACCCTTAAGAACACTTGGAGTTTGTACTGTATACAGATAGTATGTCTTATTTTGATGTCCTTACTAATTCTGGAGGTTTTATCCTGTTGCCTTATTCTGGTATTTCTTACAGATTGGAGATCTACAGAGAAGTTATGTTGCTGCTCGTAAGTCTGAAGAAGCATTTCCAGATCACGTGGATACGCAACATTTAATTGAGCGGTTAAAGCAGCACTTTGCTATGCTCTGATTGTTCCTTACACCAAATGCATGTTTTTATGATGGGGCATTATACAAGAGAGGATCCCTCCCCACCATAGAAGGAATTATCTCCTGGAGGGTGGGCCCCTTGTAGTACAGGCTTCCCCCACTAGGTGGATGTCCTAGGGACGGACCCACCTGTATCAGTGTACCAGCAGGTAGCATTGTGAGAGGCTGCGCTGAGCTTCAGTGAATTTTTTTTGAAGACTCAGTGCACTTGCCCATTTCATCATGGGTGATTTCCAAGCACATCTACCTACACCGTGCTGAGTATTCAGCAGTTTTTGACCAAAAACGGCGTGACCCCTGTGTTCCATCCTTCCCATTTGCCCGGTCTCACCCTGAGTGACTTTTTTTCTGTTTCCCTGGATGGAAATAGTCCTCAGAGGGAAACAGTTTGCCGATGTGGAGGAGGGGAAACGAAAAGCTGCAGAAGCACTAAAAGGCATCAAAACTGACGAGTCCAAACACTGAGCAGGGCAAAGGCGCCTCGACAGGTGTACTGCAGCAAATGGAGAGCACTTTGGAGGTGACTGAGTTTAAACATGTAAGAATAAATACACAAGTTTCAATAAATTTCTGTTTTGGGGGGTTCCCCCTTATATAATCGTATAAGGGAAAAATAGTGTGTGTGAAAACATATATTGATGTAATACACACCTGTGCTTGATATTAGTGAAGATGGTATAAGGGAGTTGAAATAAGGCTGTAAATGAAAACTTTTAGAATACCTCTATAATATTATGAAAGACAGGATTTCAGCATTCGTAAGTAGATCATGGAGGCTCTTCCCACATTACACGGTAGATGTTTGTTTTTAACGTTTATAAAACATTTTCATGAATTTCCTCACATTTTTATACATAACACATTTTTAATGTTCTTAAGCTTGCCCTTAACTATCATGTACCTTAAGAAGCCTGAAATTTGCTTTTTAACTTGTACTTTTATGGCTAAAAGTGTGTATATTTATCCTAATTAGAGACTTATTTAAAGCTTAAAAATTGTGTTTAAACTATTCATCAAATGCTTTGTGAGAGGCTCTACATTTTCTTACGTATTATGCTTTAAAATAAATCAGTGTGTAAAACACCATCACTCTGTTACTTTTCATGAGTTTTTATCTCAGGTCTATCAGATAAAACCAATCTTTCCGAAGTCCAGTAATCTTAAAAATCAAGTCATTGTTTTAATTTTATTTGAAATGATGCCCCACCAAGTTGGTTTTTCCCAGAGAAGCTGTTGATGGGCTCTCACCCTGTTCACACAAGAATATCAGGACGAGCAGTGGTGTCGCCGGCCAGCAGTCCCACCTGTGCTCAGCCCCGAGCAGGTCGGGCGGGCGAGGTCCTGTCCGTGCATTGCAGGTCCCGGAAAGGCTCTGGAACCGTCCCTCCCACATGAAGGAGCTCTCCTCAAAGTTTCATACAAGCACCTGTGTCAAAGGGACGGGACCACTCATGTTTGTATTTTGGACTTGGGGATCTGTCCATGTTATTTTTCATTCTTCAACTTCATGAAAACTAGTTTACAGACGCTTACTTGTTTCTGTTCAAATTTGTATAAATAGTGCTGCTCAGCTGACAGAACAAAACAGGGTGGATTCAAGGCATCACAGCTTGCCAGGGGCTGGAAGTGACCCCCGAGAGGATGTAGAGAATCTCTGGGTGGGGCAGGGGAAGGAAGTGCCCGGTGGCATAGGAACGACTGGAACCCACGATCTTGATCCTGAGCTTTAGGCTTTAACCTTTCCTGGTTCTGCAGGGTGTGCGAGTACTTGAGTAGCACCATCCAATCCCTAAAAACTGTGGTTCATATTTAGATTGGCATTTTAGAGTGTGAATCACTTTCTTAGTTAATTTCAATTTGGAGCCAGTAACAGTGGCTAGCATGTACCGAGGATGTTGTATACACCCGGCACTGTTCTGAGCACTTGATGTGGACTGATTCGTCTAATTCCCACTGCAGAACTAGGAGGTGCTGTGATTCCCATTTTATGAGAAAAAAATGAGGCACAGAGAAGTAATTTGCCCAAGGTTATAAAGTTCCTAAACAACAGAGCTGAGATTTAAATACAAGCCATGTACCCCCTGACCCCAGTATGTGCTCTTAACCACTGTGTTGAATCACCTCTCAGTGTTTCTCCTGTAAATAAAGCTACTATCATTTAAAATGAATGTTATGTGCATTAGTTATATGAATAATAAGGGACTATTCATACAACAAAAAAAAATAAATGAGTCAGTATTCCTAAGGTGATACAAGGGTATTTCTGTCTTGAATTTATGTTAATTCAATGTGAACGCCAATGCAAAGAATGAGTCAGGTTGGCTGAGGGCAGAAGGATGACATAACACCGCATCAGGAGCTGTGCACGTCTTTGTAACAGAATTATTTCTGGACTGCATAATTTCTGGCTTCTGTGCCAGCATGTCTATAAAAGGAAGGTTAACAATTGTCTTTTACCGTGGCTAAAAAGGTATTCCATCCATATACAAATTGTTCAGCCAAAATTAACATCATTGAGCTTCCAACGGATGGAAATGAGATACGGCAAGAAGGCTGCCTGCGCTGAAGAACTGCTGAGGTTGAAGTTCTTCCTTCCCAACTATGTCACGTCTGAGCCAGTCCGCTACGGCACGCCTGTTCTGTCGCATTGCTGAATGCGAGTTCCCAGGAGCGGAGCACCCTTCAGGATATTACTCGTGGCCCAGAGTTCAGAAAATTCATCAAGAGAACGAGTCACTACCCTTTTAATGCGGTTTCCACCACCAACTATTAACATGAAGGCTTTCAACTGAGAGTGAGTTTAAGCATTCAGAAAAAAAAAATATCCAAAAGATTCTAGGAGTACTGTGGCAGGACTCAACCTTGAAATATAAGGAGCCCAGAAATTGAGTTTAGGTAAAAGTCCATACTGTATAGTTTTAAATTCTAGGGAAAAGGTAAACTGGAATGGTTCACACATAGGTTCCAGAGTTCCAAAATAGTTATCTGGGCTCAGATATTAGGGGGAAATTTGTATTTAGTAATATGAAAATAACTGCAGTTTTACATTCTCCCATGTAGATGGCATTAGTTCTATTTTTGGCTGACTAAAAACATTTTTGAGATGCTGTCACTTTGCATCCTTGATGTTAAAGTTGAATTTTTGAGATTAAAGAATACAGATTAAATAAAGATTAATTGATAATCATTGGAGACTATAATATTTTTTGCAATTTTATCCCTTTCCCAAATCCTGACTAATAAAGCGTAATTGGTTGGTAAAATGTAAATGATGGAAACTCCTGGAGAAAGCCACCACATTACCTTAGGAAAGAAAAGGCCGGACTGGACAGATTTGAGGAAGACATTTTTTTCCTACTTAAATCAGAGAAAAGATAGACCCTCATCCAGTGTTTGAAACTCAAGTTTCAATAGGCTTCAGAACGTAACAACCATCACTGCCCCCCACCCTACACCTGCTCTGATCTGATAGGTTTAATTTCTTGTTCTGTACTAGATTCTCTCTCTCTCACCATCCTTTTAAACCTTCCTCCTTTCTAGTACTACCCTCTGTGCCACATCATTTTGAAAGGTCAGGTGCCACTTGTTGCCTACTTCCTCGTCTCCCATTCATTCCTCTGCCTCTTGAATCTGGCTTTAGCTCCTATCCCCATGGAACCTGCTCTCATTGAGGTCACTGAGACCTCCCAATTAGCAAAGCCAGAGGTTCCTTTTTTAAAACGAACCCTTTAAAATGTATTAATCATATACCATACAAGTCTCTCTAATAACATTAAATGGTGGTTGTGTGTGTTTTTTGTAACATTCACCATTGGTCAATCATCACTATAATCAATTAAAAAACATTTTCACCATCCCCCAAAGAAACCATGTACCCGTTAGCAAATTGTATCAAATCTGTAGATCTATTTGGGGAATATTGCCATCCTAATATTAAGTCTGTTCATGAACATGGGATGCCTCAGTGGCCCGTGTTTAGCTCTCATCTCACTTGACCTTTCTCGGAATTTGCACAGACCACTCACTCTCTCAAAGTTCTCTTCTCCTGTGACTTCTTGCTGAGTTCTGCTCACACTTCTCAGGGCACCCCTCAATCTCACGAAAGACTCCAAATTGCCCTGTAGTTTAAATCCTTTTCTTTGTCTTGTCCTTTTAAATCTTGCTGTTAGTCAGGGTTCCATTTTTCACCCTGTTCAACTCTCACTCGTTTTCTCATTCCCCGGTATGCTCATTCTCCCAACCTCCGTGCCCAGGCTTGTGGTCCCCACTCTGTGTTTAGGCCCCGCCTTCTCTCCTGACTCCAGATCCTCATTTCCAGCTGTCACATGGCATCTTCACTCGGATATCCCAGAGCCATCTCAAAGTCAAAGTATCCATCAGTAGCCTCTCCAAATCTGATTCCTACCTTGCACTGCATACGAAAATGAAATGGATGGTAGACCTAAATGTATAACCTATAAGCATAAAAGTTTTTAGAAGAAAACGTAAGAGAAATTCTTTATGAATTTGGGTTACACATTTGTTTTTTAGCTGTAGCACCAAAGGCATATTCCAAAAAAGGGAAAAATGGATAAATTGGACTTCATTAAAAACTTTCACAATCTAAAAGATATTGTTGGGAGAATGGAAAGACAAGACACAGGCTGGGAGAAAATATTTGCAAATCTTAAATCTGATAAGGAATTTGCATTCAGAATATATAGAGAACCCTCAAAATTCAATAAGAAAAAAACTAAAAATGAGCAAATAATTTGAACATATACTTCACTAAGAAGCTACACATAGATGGCAGATAGCACACAAAAAGATTCTCAACAAAATTAGTCATTAGGAAAATGCAAATTAAAATCAAATTAGAATGGCTAAAGGTAAAAAGGTAGACCATATCATGTGTTGGTTAGCTAGCATGTGGCGCAAGGAGAACCATGTATCATGTACTGGTGGTGGGGCTGTGGAGTGGTTCAACCGCATTGGAAAACAGTGAGGCAGTTTCTTAAGTTAAACGTTACACCTCCCACATGATCCAGCCTTTCCCATTCCTGGGTATTAACCCAAGAGCAATGAAAGCATACATTGAAGAAAAGACTTGGACCCGAATGTTTTTAGCTACCTATTTGTAATAGCTCCAAACTGAAAACAATCCAAATATCCATCAAGAGACGAAGGAAGAAACAAGTGGCATCATATCCATGCATAGAACACTATGTAACAACAGAACAGAATGAACTATTGGTATGTGCATGCCATGGGTGAGAATCAAAATAACTGTTCTGAGTAGAAGTGGCCAAACATAAAGAAGTACATGCTGTATTATCCCATTTATATAAAATTCTTGGAAATGCAAGCTCTTCTGTATTGACAGAAAGCAGATCAGGGGTTGCCGGGAGCAGGAGTTGGGCGGGAGGAATGCGGGGAGCAAGGAATGCAGTTTGCAGGGAAGGATCACAAAGGAGCGTGAGGAAACTTCAAGGTGATGGATGCCTTCATTATCTTAATTATGGTAATGGGGTAACTGAGGACATTGCCCTGCCACCTCTTTCTACCTCTGAAAACAGATGGCTGTCTGGCCAGCAGCCATAAGGAACGAAGAAAACAGTCTCCCAAGGCCCGTGTCTCTCAAGGGCCCTGTCTCCCAAGTCCCATGTTTTTTATCACACACCTGTAGCACTTTGACAAGCTACGGTGGCCCCCAACCCGCTGCCATGGCTCGCTCTTTAATCCTATAAGTAACACCTAGGCTGGAGGCGGGGTGCAGTCTCTCTCTCACTGATCTGCCGCCATCGGTGCCCTCCCCTGCAATGTGAATAATAAACGGCACACCCACAGCATGTCCACCTCTGGTGGTCCTCCAGGTGTTTTTTTTTTTTTTTCAGAATATCACAAGCACGTAAGCACTCCTGGGCTTGGAGCTCCTGCATCACGCTGTGTCAGTGTTTACATATGCCAATCTTACCCCGTTTTACAGGTTAAATATACACAGTTTATGGTACATCAGTTATACTTCAATGAAACTTTTTTAAAACAAAAACTCATAGAACTCTACATCCTCGCAAAAAGTCAGTCAAACTGTATGCAGATTATACTTCAATAGACTTAAGAAAATACAAATATCACCATGAACTGAAGTGCCATGCTATTTTTACAGACACAGTGATATAAAAGTTTAGGAGCTCTATAACCCTTTTATTTATTTTTTTTAAATTATACTGTATTGATTATGCTATTACAGTTGTCCAGATTTTTCCCCCTTTGCCCCCCTCCACCCAGCACCCCCTACTCAATCAGGCAGTCCCCACCACTGTTCATGTCCATGGGTCATGCGTATAAGTTCTTTGGCTGCTCCATTTCCCATACTGTACTGTACATCCCCATGGTTATTCTGTAACTACCTATTTGTACTTCTTAATCCCCTCTCCTCTTCACCCGTTCTCCCCCACGCCCCTTGCATCTGGCAACCATCAAAATGTTCTCTGTATCCATGATTCTGTCTCTGTTCTTCTTGTTTGCTTAGTTTGTTTTTAAGATTCAACTATTGATAGATATGTATTTTTTGCCATTCTATTGTTCATAGTTTTGATCCTTTTAAAAAATAAATCCCTTTTTGTATAATAATGGTTTGGTGATAATGAACTCCTTTATTTTTTTATCTTGTCTGGGAAGCTCTTTATCTGCCCTTCAATTCTAAAATGATACCTTGGCTCAATAGAGCAATATTGGCTGTAGGTCCCTGCTTTTCATAACTTTGAATATTTCTTGCCAATTCCTTCTAGCCTGAAAAGTTTCTTGTGAGAAATCATCTGACAGTCTTATGGGAACTCTCTTGTAGGTAGCTAACTGCTTTTCTCTTGCTGCTTTTAAGATTCTCTCTTTATCTTTAATCTTAAGCATTTCAATTATGATGTGTCTTGGACTGAGTCTCTTTGCATCCATCTTGTTTGGGACTCTCTGTGCTTCCTGGACTTGCATGTCTATTTCCTTCACCAAATTAGGGAAGCTTTCTTTCCTTGTGTGTTTTTTAAAAATTTTATTTATTTTTAGAAAGAGGGGAAAAGAGAGGGAGAGAAACATCAATGTGTGGTTGCCTCTCATGTGCCCCCAACTGGGGATCTGACCCGCAACCCAGGCATGTGCCCTGACTGGGAATTGAATGAGTGACCCTTTGGTTCTCAGGCCAGCACTCAATCCACTGAGCCACACCAGCCAGGGCTCATTGTTTTTTGAAATAGATTTCCAATTTCTTGCTCTTTCTCTTCTCCTCCTGACACTCCTATGATGCAAATGATGGACCTCTTGAAGTTTTCCCCAAGGCTGCTTATATGATCCTCATATTTTTGGATTCTTTTTTCTTCTTGTTGTTTTGATTGGTTGTTTTTTTGGTTCCTTATTTTCCAAATCATCAATTTGATTCTTGGCTTCATCCACTTTACTATTGTTTCCCTGTAAATTGTTCTTTATTTCAGTTAGTGTAGCCTTTGGTTCTGACTGGATCTTTTTTATGCTGTTGAGGTCCTCACTAAGTTCCTTGAGCATCCTTATAACCAGTGTTTTGAACTCTGTATCTGATAGACTGCTTATCTCCATTTTGTTTAGCTCTTTTTCTGGAGTTTTGATCTGTTCTTTCATTTGGGCCATGTTTCTTTGTTTCCTTGTTTTGGCAGGCTCCCTGTGTGAGTTTCTATGTATTAGGTAGAGCTGCTATGACTTTGTATCTTGATAGTGTGGCCTAATGTAATAGGTGTCCTGTAGGGTCCAGTTGCATAGCCTCCCCTATTGCCCCAGCTGAGTTCTCAAGATGTGCCCTCCATGTGGGCTGAGTACACTCTCCTCTTGTAGCTGAGCCTTGGTTGCTGTTGGCAGATCAATGGGAGGGATTTACCCAGACTGGTCAGTTGCAAGGACTGGCTGTGACCACTGGCCGTCACCTTCCGCCCTTCGTGGAGGATCATCTGTGCAGGGGCAGGGTGGTGGTGTTCCAATTTGGTCTGTAGCTATCCACTGGGTGTACTGGCCCTGGGGTTTCCCAGGTGGTACAGGTCAAGGTCAGCTCCGACCTGTGTTTTGCCTGGGGCCACCCTGCATGAGCTATAAAGCAATCTGAGATGG